ACGCTCCACTCTCTCCAAACGTTCCAAAACACATCTGTCACATTTCCCACGTTACAAAATTTGTTTTTTTTTCATTAACGCTTTTCTTATACGCTTCTCCTCAACACTCCGCAAAGAATGCATGGAGCGTACTGATACACTTCCTAAACACTTTATTCATTAGTACTTCGTCTACGCTTCTTAAACATCCGGCAAAAAGTACACGGAGCATTCAAATATGCTTCCAGGATATAGAGATACAAAAATTTATTTTAAAACGGAGCGTCATTGAGCTGTACAGCGAACGTAAACGAAGCGTCGTTAAGTAGTACGTAGCACTGCTACCAGAGGGACTTAGCGAGAATTAACTTCTCAAATTCAAAAGTCGTACAGATTAGAATAAAAGACGTAGCATTGAAAGATTTTTCAGTTGTGTTTTAATGAAGTAATTTTTTGAAGTGAACCCCCTGAAGGGTTCCAAGAAGAAAGCATAGTACTTTTCTTAGATATTTACCGAATAAATGAAATATATTTTAAAATATCATTTGCTTACCAAGAACTTCGATTACATTTCATTCATATTCGTCTAAGAACTCGATGCTCCGTTTACGTTCTCTAGACTGCCTAATCACGCTTCATTTACATTCTGCTCGTGCTTGCCGAGAGAACTTATTTATACTTTCATTTATGTTTCTTTAACGTTTAGTTAACGCTTCCTTTACGTTCCATGTTCCAATTTTCGTGTCTTACGGGTTTCATTTATGTTTCTGTTACTCCCTCCTTACATTTCCTTTACATTCCAATTAACGCTTTATTGACACTCGCTTTACGTTTTATTTTCATTAGGGATATCACTTCGTTCCACTTGTTCTAGTTCTTAACCTCTTTTCGTTTTTCGACCTACTCAAGTAGGTCATAAATCATGACTTGTTAGAGCCTCTTTCACCAACCCCGATTAACGCTAATCGATGGTCAACTCAATCATGATTGCATGAGAAGAGGAAAAAAGAAAAGACGTTCTAGTATTAAATTGCTGTTGGCACTTCTGTGAGTTAATTATCGATTAATTTAATCAGAAGTTAATGAAAGAGGCCCTTAGTTGATCCAACTAATCCGATAATTATTCCACTTTGTTTCCATTACAAGATACTACAAAAATACGCATGACACAACATAATTTAAACAATATGTGTTCATCTTCGCCTTTGCCTGACTCGCAATAAACAATGGCTGCGTTCAGCGAACTCAACAGTTGAGTGAGCGCTTACTGTTATGTACTGCTGTATTCTTTTATATCATCCAATCAGCATTTTAAATATGGAAGAATATATCAATAGCAGCGAGAACGCTCACTCAACTGTTGAGTTCGCTGAACGCAGCCACTAATAGAACTGCTAGGGTGCGCTAGGTTAACATCAACCCAAAATCTGGTAATGTTGTGTATGTCTAGTAAATATAATTTGAAGTTTTATAAATCCAACAGGAAAATAAAGCAAAGTTCTTACGGTATAATCGCTTAAAGTATTTAGATGCTTATCAACACTTTCCTCGAAATCTTACTCAATGTAGATATAAGTCTTTTTAAGTCGATGGCTTTGTGTTTTGGCTCCGAAATTAAAGTTGAACACTCCTGATCTACTAACCGTTCTAATAAAATCTCAAATCTTGTTATAATAATCAGAAGTTCTGCTTAGTTTAATCAAAATGTGTTTAACTATATACATCTTGTTGACACAAACGAATCATTTTTTTCTTAGTGTAAAAAGATATGTAAATTAAGTTAAATACAAAGTTCTGCTAGACATTTTGTGTATTCGATCCTCCGCACATTAATTTTTGTAGAAACACTAGAAAAACATTCATAAGCATTAAAAAAGACAAATATGTAGTGAAATATTTCCGCGTTTGTAAGATTGAAGCTTAGAACACGGAAAAATCTTTTCTCTTATAATTCAACTTTAGATATCGTGACATTTCTGACAATGAAAAATCGATTGCAAAAGGAAGTCGTAGAATCGTGAATAAAGAAAAATGCGATGGTTCCGACACATATTGTTATACGTTTTCAGGTACAGATATCTATAAAATTCGGATGCAGTTGCTTCAATCTTTCTTCTATTTTCTCACTTCCTCGTTTTACTTTCCAAACGCGTGCAACTGAATCTCGATGAAAGAATAAACAAGCGATATCGCGTTCATCCGGATGAGTATTTCACGCCTTTTCTCCGAGATATCTAGGGGTCGAGTGTGCTCGACTGGTTTGAACGGATAGAAATAGTGAGAAAAATTGACGAAGACTGAAATAGTATATTTAAATAGGAATATAACTGCTTCTTAGTAGAACAATTTTGACAGAAATATCTTTTTTACTGTTTAAACGATTAACAATCAAAAAAATGGAGTCTTTTTATAAGAAGCGTCTTCTTTACAAAATGATGGACAATATAGAATTACAAGATATGAATTATAAACCCATAAAAGTATTTAGCATTTTAATTTTGAAGCATTATTTAAAATGAAAAAATTTGCATTAATCTCTATTAACAATGAGAATATTCAAGATGGTCAATACAATTTTATATAATTTATTAAATAAAATAATTGATGTGAAAAAATTCTGATAATAAAATTTCGAAAAGATAGAATTCCATCATTGAGCAATATACGAGGGCAAGTTAATAAGTTCTTAGAAAATCTGTCAGAGGGCACTCGCAATGTCATGTCATATTACTTTTTGACAAATAGCATCTTTCAGCTGATTACTGTCAAATTTTGAGCGGAATTCATCGCGTGGTTTCATTTCCGTAGACAATTAAAGCGAACAACCTATGTATTTTTTGCAAAATGGAAAAAAACGAGTGCAGTGATTTCATGCAGTGATCAAATATTTACATATGAAAGGTTTAACGCCGAAAGAAATCAAAGCCGAGTTGGATAATGTACATAGTACATCTGCATCAGCGTTTACGACTATATGCAATTGGATGAATGAATTTAAACGTAGTAGTACATCCACATGTGATGCACCGAAGAAATTATCGATAAAGTCCACGATATTGTTTTGACTGATCGACGAGTGAAAATGCGTGAGCTTGTTGAGGCCACAGGCATATCACATGGCACAGTGATTTCAATTTTGCACGAACAATTGGATATGAAAAATCTATCGGCAAGATAGGTGTCGCGTTTGTTCACTGTGGACCATAAGCGTGATCGTGTGACGATTTCAAAACAATGTTTGGAGATATTTTAACGTAATCCAGATAAATTTCTGCGTCGATTCATTACTGTGGATGAAACGGATCCATTACTTCACACTCGAGACGAAGGAACAGTCAAAACAATGGACTTCACCGAGTGAATCAGCTCCGAAAAAGGCGAAGACCGTGAAGTCGGCCGGAAAGGTGATGGCCACAGTTTTTTGGAAAACACACGGTATAATTCATATCGATTACCTTCGAAGCAAACGATCAATGGCGATTACTACGCAGCCTTATTGAACCGTTTCAATAACATTTTAAAGAAAAAACGTCTCCATTTGACGAAGAAGAAAGTGCTCTTCTATCAAGATAATGCACGGGTTCACACGTGCCCGGCACTAAAATAGCCAAATTCAACGAATTCCGCTACGAATTGCTTCCCCATCTAGCATACCAAATTTAGCCCCCTGCGACTATTTCCAAACCTGAAAAAATGGTTCGGAGGAAAGAGATTCATCACCAAAGAGCAGCTCATCGCCGAAACAGAGGCTTATTTTGAAGGGTTGAACAAATCATATTATTCGGACGGTTTGAAAAAGTTGGAGAATCGTGGAATTAAGTGTATCGAACTGAAAGGAGACTATATTGAGAAATAAAAATGAATCGATCAATAAAATGTGTTTTACTATATTTTCCTAAAAACTTATTGACTTGCCCTCGTATTCTATTTCCCACGACGATATTGTGTCAGAAGGATGATAATTGAATTAGTAGCAGTCATTAGCAAAGATCGCTTCCGTTATTCCAATTATTGATACGATAATTTAATTAGTGTTTGGCCTCTGATTACACGCAAAGCACGGAAGATCATCAAGGCTTAACTGGAGTAATTTTTCGATGAGAATCGGAAACATGGCATGAGATTTGAAAATGATAGAAAATGAATACCTAAAATTCTTCTCGCGCTCTTAATTAATAGCGACTTCTAACTAATAATGAATTTCTGTTCTGTATTTAATAACTCGCCGTAAAGAAGGCATGACAGTGTCTCACGCCATTAAGAAAAAAATTTTTTTAACATACATTTATACCAACTAACAATCTGTATATTTTATTACATGATTGTGTTAAATATTTTATATCTCTTCATTCAACGGCACTGACTTAGAAAAAGTGTTGAGAGGTCAATATGAAAGCATTTCACGCACGCGCGCGCGCACACACACACACGCACGCACGCACACACACACACGCACAGTTCGGAGGAACACATGGTGTCAACTACAATCGTTTGTTTGGTTTTCTTTCAATTTGGAGCCAGAAATAATGATCTTTTTTAAAAGTCTTTATATTACCGAAGAGAGGAGTAAAAGTATACAGACACATGTAGATTACACATTTACATGTAAAACAAAAAAAATACTTTTATATGTAAAACAAAATGTACAAACAAAATATTTAATGCATAAAATCGAGAAAGGTTTTTTTTTAATTATATAACAGATAACGTACCAACTTAGTACAACGCATTCTCACGATTTTGATCTCAGAAATTATTTGCGGTTGTTGAAAAATCATTTGTTAAAGAATAAAAAAGTAAAAATTATTGGGGAGGGGGGGAGAAACGCTCTGCCCCCTTTAAATCGACGTCTATGTTATTCGTTAAGTTTGAAGATTTGCATATTATAAAATCGAATTACAGTACAGTTCGGATAAATTCGGACTTCAGGATCACTCCGCGGTTTTAATAGCTACATGTACCAAATTGGAACTCGTTCATTCGACATCGATATAGCTAAATGAGACTATTCTCTGATACAGGTTCAGCGGTAGCAATGATAGGAGCTAATCTAAGATTCGGCATCGGCGCTTCCGGGAATGTCACGTCCAATGCCACCAAGGTGTTCCAGTGTCACCCTGGTGGTGTGACCGAAGCCACTGTGATATTTAGCCTCGGTGCATTGGGGATGGGGGCAAATATTATCCTCATGACGTTGATACTGGCGAAGCGACAGTTGCGCAGGTATGGAGCGATAATAATCCACCAAAGAATGGCGCTTTGTGACCACCCCACGCTTTGCATGAACTGGGGATAACGCTCGGAAATTGTCGCGTTATGACCCGTTCAATATGCGAAATAAAATCGCTTCCTACGGCATATCGTGTTGCAAAAATTACATAACCGTGATTTCTCGCAAATGGAAAAAAAGGATGCTTCGCAATATAGAAAGCACCATATTCTATCACGCATAATTACATCTTATGGCCTATATATTCAAACACATTGTAAATTTAATGCATTCGTTTGAAAGAAACAGATTATTGCAACGAAAACAAATTTGTTTTATCGTGACTCCTTATACTACCAATAAAATTTATAGAGCTAATGGCACGTTTAATTCTGTGCCACACATAAATTCCAATCTCGCGTAAGAGTATTTTGACTTGTTGACTTATTTCAGTAAACTTATTACGTAAACAGGTAACTATATTGCGGCCCGATAACCATCACGTTCTGTTTACTGAATAAAATCTCGATCATATGCTATATGCTTGTCAAACAAAATATTGTCTGATCGATACGCGAAACATAGCACACGTGATAGACTGCGATGTGTTCTAAATGTGTGATATCTTTAGAATGTATCTTGTTATCAATTTAAAACTGATTTTTTTAACGAAAACAGTATATTCTATGAATTTTGAGATTGTTGATATAATAATTGCAAATAAAATGTATAGATTTTTCACAATTTAAACTGTGCAGATTGGAATAAATGTTTTAAAATTTAAATTTAATTAACAAAGTATAATATTATCTAATACTAAATATTCATAAAAAGTAGTGGATGAAAATAATCCTTAAATTCATTAAAAAAAATTAATACATTCCTTTCGATATCATATTTTAGAAACATTCTATTTGTATCCATGAGTTTTTTTAATTGCAAATTAAAATGCCTTCAACAATTTCATTACCAGCATTCATTACTGAATCTACTGCAATTAAATTGTCAGAGGCATATCTTGTAAGATGCAGTAATGTAGGATTAGGAAAGTCGGAGGTGAGAATAATAGTAAATGTATTGATGTATATTTATTCTGGGATTCACAGGTGGTCCCAGGGACTGTTATTTCACCAAGCCATGGTAGATTGTGCGAGAGCCGCTATACTATTGCCCTTAGGCTCCAGTATATTGAATTGTCAGCCCGTTAACAAGTGTTCCCTGGTAGAGACCGCCTTTCTGTTGCTAGTGACCGTTTCCACAGTAAATATGCTAACGACCGTACTAAATGACAGCCCGGTATTCCCAGAGGGCGACGAGGAAGCAGATCTGACCGCTCCCTTGCTGATGGATTCACCCCAAGTAAGAATTATAACACGTCTTGTTAAGCTAATATCCGTGCTTTCTATTTACATTTGATATTTCTATGATTTTCTCAGATGTGTCGTTAGATAAATTAGTGTAGATGTATTCGTGCATATGTAACTCTTCCCCGAGTCTTAACAACTAAGTTTCAACTTACCTCTCAGTTCTCAGCATTTAGCTCTTCCAATTTGCAACTCTCGACTTTCAATTCTCGATCTTCTCAATCGTCTCTTAACCCGTTACGGTCCAAACTATTTCTCGTAAATGAGCGAAAATCAAATTTGTCCTCAACTTTAACCAATTGTAATCAGCTGGTCTAACAGAATTTAAAGAATTTTATTACTTGAAGGAATTATGTAGGGTAGAATTGGGTATTATGAGCATCTTAAGGAAACATTTTGATATATATAAAATATTGAAGAATAAAAAAATCTTATGCATTATATCATTTCATAGATTTGTTGATGTTTTATGTATTGAAATCTTAGTATTGAAATTGATTATTTTTATGCAAATGTTGAAATGACGGATGCTCTTATTATTCACCCAGTGTTCATATTACCCTCTGGGTAGGCTAATATAAGCATTTTTAGGGGTAATATGAGCACAGTAAATTTTTTGTAAGAAATCAGGCAGAAATGAAAGATTGAAATATGTATATATGAAACATTTTATTAGAACAAATGCCAGTGATTGCAAATTATGGCAATACAACACACTTTACTAGAATTGCTATTGTATTGTTAATATTGTTATCCTATATTTTTCTACCTATTGCACCCAATACTGCCAAGTATTGTTAATGTATCGTTATGTACTATTATGTATTGCTAGTACTGCTACTGCTAGTATTGCCTGTACTATATAGTTTTACTATACTGTCGCAATATATTTCTAAAGTACATTAATTGCCATAGTGGTTGATCTCTCGCTAAACTCTTATTTTTCAGTATACGATAAGGAGATGCTCATATTATCCGACCATGCAAATTTATCCAAAAAAACTCTCGTAATAAATCAATAATAATAAACTCTAATAAATCAATAATAGTCTCGGGACTTTATGAAGTTAGAATGGCTCAATATTGTTTCCTTTACAAATATTAACATGCAGAACAAAATGTCTTATCTGAATGTAGATTGGAGATCTTATGATGTTAGAAGAAAAAAAAAATAACGTACCTATATAATATTCTTGAGGCTTCCACGGGTGCTTTCTATATAAAAATTATGCGTTTTGCGGATTTCCTCCATATCCAGATCCATTCTTGAAATGCATTCCAAGAATGGATTTGGACACAGAGGAAAACCGCGAAATGCATAATCTTTGTACCTACTTATTGAATATAATAAATATCCGGAGTACATAAATTTAGATCAAACGTCGCAGCATATTGGAATGTCGCGAAGACAGATGCATCTTTCTACAACAGTAGTTGGCACTATTAGTACCAATCATTACAGAAATATAAAGAGTGCTCATATTATATTATCTGTAGTGCTCATAACATCCGATTCTTCCTTATATAAAGATTCCAAAAGTATATTTTGCCAATTATAATCGCATATAGATTTAAATATTCGAAGAATTATGCGATATACTATTGCAACGCATATATTATGTCGAATCTAACTCCATAAAGAATTATATTTAATAAGCTTATATTTGATATTACACTTATACATTATGATTATAAACTTTAATCAATTATTGATAAATAAAATTGTATAAGTTTGTTCATGATAAGCTATTAATCAAAAATATTTGAGGTATGGACAAACCGCATGACTTTGGCTAACGCAGACTGCTGTTGTCCGTCTCGCAAAATAAGAGAGAAATTTCCACCTAACCGCAGCATTGTGATAGCGAATTTAGCAGTGACTGATTGCGGCAAACCGTCCGCGTCACAGTATAGAGATATAGAAGTAAAAGCTGTCGGACTAAATCGGATTTTTCCAAGGAAAATTAATTGCGCTGAAAAAAGTATTAAGCGCACAGCTTAAGCTGGATATACGGAAACTTCTTAATAAATTGTGATAAATCTAATTAGTTTACGGTTGTAAAGACAGAATTGTTTTTCATTATTCAATTTCATATGAACTTTTACATCAAATTTAAGTGCTCAAACATTAATAAAGGATGAGATCGAATAATGTTTCAGTTTTGTGCGTGTGCGTGTGCGCGTGTCTGTGTAAAACTGATTTGATTTTCTCATAAATTATCCGTTCTCATTAGTGAAATTATTTTTATATTAAATATTTTCCTTCAATTTCCGATTAAATTTTAACCAACTTTTGTTTTTATTTTAGTGTACCTATCGTAAATGAATGTAATTAAGAATTTAAGTCACGAGATAAAATAAAAAATCTAATATCGAGAAAAAATAATCTGTAAATTTATCAGATTGCACACTTCTAAAATTCGATGCAAATCTTAAGGAAGGTCCTATATCATTATGGTATGACCCGAGACACTAAATTAGCGCAATTAATTCCTTAACGACTTGGCTTCCCTATGCGTATAGTAGCATAGTTAGTTTCAAATTAATTTAACGTAATAACTTACATATCTAGTGACACTCGACTCGCTTTCATAATAGAATTCAAATGATGTTGGTTCGTTAAACATGCGAGATGTATCTATTATTATGCATCTCTCACGACAAAATTGTAGCTTTACAAGCATCGAAATAATTTTTGCAATTATTTAAAATGTCTTTTAATGTATGTTTTACTTGATTTTACGTTTTAACTTAAGAATGTTATGTACATATTTCTAAAATAATAACAAAATTATGAAAAAGTTGCAGATTATTATAAATCATATTTAAAAATAATATGAAGTACTTATAAAAAAAATTTAAACTTTTGTTATCATTATTTAAATTTTAGTTCATAACAATAAAAATAATAAATAAAATAAATTATAAAAATTCATTGTTCAATAAAAACAGAATGTTTTAAACATAACTTTTAAATATTGTATATATTAGACTGACAAGGAAAAAAAAATTTTTTTTTAATCATACACAGAGAGAGAGAGAGCCTCTCATTAGGGACCATCTCGGCTTGTACAAGTTAATAAAAATTCTTGATATCAGTAAAAGTTGATAAGATGTAAATTAAGAAAAATAGCGGGAGCGTATAGGTCATAGATTCCGAATAAATTTAGTGTTATAGTGCATGATAAAAGTTCTAGAATGACTAATATCTCAAAAAATATTGATTTATCTAAAAAATGTTTGAAATAAAAGTAATAGGATTTAAAAAAGTTATCAGATGATGATATTAATTTGACCTTAGAATTACCTTGGAAAATGCTTTCAAAGTTAGCATAAAAATTTTGAATGAAACTCCCTATTTTTCATAGCATATTTTTATAGCTGAGTTAAGATGTTTCCAGAACACTGGTTACGAACCTTTTCTTGATAAGAACTTCCCGAGTTATGACATTTGACAGTTACAGTACCACCGGCATTAGCATTACTCAAGGTGTCCAACCGACGGCTAAAACCTTTTGAATGTTGTGCAGAATCATGTCTTGAATAACATTTGTCAAGATCACTGGAGATTATTCTTCTTATTTTCATTTTTGCACTAAAAATTCATTTTTATCGAAGTTGCAATTTTCGTGCGATTGCAGAGATTAAGCATCATTGAATGGCGTACAAGATTGGATGGGTAAAAATTCCGCTTAGGAAAATAAGGAAATTAATTCCCAAATGAAGGGAAAGCGGTTTTTTTAATAATTATAATGTTGTCGTGTGTGTTCTGAAATATGATGTTAATCAACAATATTTATTTTAATAATAAAATTGAATTAATATAAAAAACATTTTTTATGTCTTACAGACATTGCAATTCAACGAACATTGTTGAATTCTGCAACGTCTCTTGAACATTGTATCTACATTTCACGATTTTACTCCAATGTTCGCAATGTTGCAAATCAACGTTTCTGAGATATTGATTCAATGTTAGTGCTGTATAGGTTTACATTTAAATTAGAGTTGTGTACGATGACTTTAAGTGCGCACAAGTATTGCCAATGAAAAGCACTATAATATTCTATTGGTGTCAAGAGAAAAAGTAACGAAAAAGTAACGATTCGTTACATTTTAAGTGACGGTAATGAGTTACTTTTGCAAATTAATAACAAATAACAATAACGAGTTACTTTTCATGAAAAAGAACGGTAATGGTAATGAGTTATTTTATGAGGTTGCCAACCCTGTATATATCGGGTGTTCAAAATAAAGCGTTACAAATTTTTATTTCGGAAACACGACATTAAACAGAAAAATTGTTTAGACAAAAGTTATCTTCAAAAAGATCTGTTTATTAATCTCATCAATTTGACTTTGGATGGCATTGTCAAGGTCAAGTCAAGGTCACATCGATTTTTTTTAATGGAATACCATATTTTTGTTTCCAGAATATAATAACTGATATCGAGAGCTTTCTAAAACGCTATAAGAAAATACATATTTTTTCATTAAATATTTTTTGAATTATGATGCCTGAAGGTTACAATATCCCCGACAATAGCATTACTTAAGATGTCTGACGACTAAAACCTCTTAAATGTTAGGATCATGTCCTGAATATCATTTGTCAAGATCAAAGCCATTGGAGGTTGTACCTCTTATTTTCATTTTTACATAAAAATGAATTTTTAGCAAATCTTAATATTTTGATAGTAAAATTTTCGTCTCAAAATGATCTCAAGACCCCTTGTTCAAAGGATATTTACAGGAAGTTCTGTATATAGCTATATATATATCCAAATCTGCGAAGATTTTGAACAGAACTTGCTATCAATTTTTGATTGCAGAAAGGCAACAAACTGTACACAGAATTTTTACTATCAGACAATGTCAGCAAACTGCTGTCAAAAATATGACAAAGACTGCTGACATACATTATGCCAGCAAATTGGTGACAGAAATCGAACAGAATCTGCTGCATAACCTGACAGCAGATTGCAAGCAGAAACCGAGTAAGATCTATCATTTTCATATACGGCCTCGCCACGAAATAGACTTACTTCTCGTAAGAAGAAAACAGGAGTCCAGGAGTCCTATAAGAATTTGCGTACATAAATCGAATAGGAAAATCTCCTAGAGATTCCCAGACTCTTTTCGTGCTTTCTGAGTCTCCGAAAATTTTTTTTACTATTTTGTAACTTTCTCGTGCATATTTTCAATTTTGGAATGTGAAGCTAATCAATAATATTTTAGCAATAAAACTGTATTGATTGTTTTCACGCCAATATATAAGGGTGATTCAAAATATTTTTTTGTCTTTAAAGGGACATATTCTTGGCTGTATTTTGAGACAATTTTTCCTTTACGAAAATTTTGTTCGAAGCTTAGGTAGGACGTATAGGAGACGGGCAGGAGCGGCGCTCACGGTTAGAGTCTAACCGTGATACGCTAACTATTTTTTCTTATAATTTAAAAACTAAGCTTCGAACAAAATTTTCGTAAAGGAAAAATCGTCTCAGAATACGGCCAAGAATATATCCTTTTAAGGACAAAAGGTTATTTTGAATCACCCTAAATAAATATATAATTACAGGGTGGGCCATCTATTGGTACGTTTTTGAATTTCGTCGTATGGCAACACCGAACGAGCTACAGACCCGAAATTTTGACAGTTTATTAGTCATACCGTCCGCGGCACGAAACAACATGTTTTCTCTTGAAGAGCGTTTTGAAATTTTAAAAACTTATTTTCAAAGTCAGTGCTGTGTCGCCGAAACTGTACGAATTTTGAAAAGAAATATGGGTCGTGATAGAGCACCCACCGAAGGAGCTATACGCAAATTGGTGAGGAAAGTTCGTGAGAAAGGGATGTTAGTGGATGACATTATATTACGACTGTTTTGAGTGAAATTGGCGCCGAGGTAGTCCAAAATGTCATTAATAATTGGGGTGACCGAATGGCATACTGTAAGGCCAGTAGAGGGAGCCACATGAACGAAATCGTTTTTCATTCTTGACGCGGATACTTTTAGCTTCACAACAAAAAAAAAATTAATAAAAAATATCAATGTATGCTCATTTGATCGCATTTTTAAAAACGTACCAATAGATGGCCCACCCTGTATATATCATTATATATAACCGTTCATATATATGTACGCGCGCGCGCGCGGGCAAAATTTCTTACAAGAAATCAGGTCAATTTAAATGAAAATGACAAATCTTGTTTGGTTTCTGCTGTCAATCTGCTGTCAAGTTATATCAGCAGACTCAGTTTCTGCTCGCAATCTGCTATCAAATTCTGTCAGCAGGTTCTGTTTAATTTTTGCTGCCAATCTGTTTGCATAAAATGTTAACAGGTTCTGTCGCCAGAACAGGAGCAGAATGCGACATCAGTTGTGATCAATCTGTTAATATCTTCTGATCAAATCTGCTACCATTTTACTATCTGAATATATGTATCTATATATATTAGATTGTCAAGAAAAAAAATTTTTTTTTAATCAATCGAAAAGAACAAAGAGAAAGAACTAAAAATAGCGGATGTGAATACTCATATTATAGTGCCTTAATATATCTAGAGCTTTAGTTTATTCCCACTCCAAGCGCCGCACGCCATGATAAAAAGTATCGTCTATGCCGTTGCTATCATTTAGAGGGAGATGGTTATTAACGTAGAGTTCCTATAAGAGTACGGTCAATAGAGCGTGAATGAGGCAAAATGGGAAACGCATTGAAACGCGTGCACATTTACAAATATAAAGTGTAAAACTGAGGTTATGTTCAAAAATTTACTGTCATGTACAGTATTGAAAATCTATAGTGCACATAGCGTAAACTATATATTAAACTATGTAGTAAATTTTAGAAAACAATCAAAAGTTTACGAAATACTAAAAAGTTTAGGGAAATACTATAGTATACGTTATGCATACTATAATATTTTCCTAGAATTTCGTATACGTTTCTTTTCAAGAATAGAGGCCTTGAAGTATAAAATTGAAATTACATACGTGATATGTCCCAAAAGTAATGCGAATGATGTAAAAAAAATACTTTTATATAAAAATTATGCGTTTCACGTATCAGACTGATACTGAGCTGTTCCTCCGAGCCATTTCTCATATACGCTTGTTGGAGTGGTGGGAAAGGAGGAAGAAGAGAATTGTGGGTGGGACACGGAGAAAACCCGCGAAACGCATAATCTTTATATAGAAAGCACCCGTGGAAACCTCAAGAATATTATGAAATATTATATATATTTAAAATTACTATATATATATTATTATATATATTTAAAAATTAAATCTTCCTTTTACTCGTTTTTTCTATCTACTTAACCTATTTAACCTATCTATCTATTTAACCTACAGTGCCTTATTGCGACTTTGATAATTAATGTCAAATTTGTCAATATTTAAAAAATGTATAGCAATAATTTATTTTTTTTTTTTAATATTTTTTTTTTTAAGAAGAGGAATATTTAAATATCTAATATCTTAAAGCTTAAAAAAGTCTTTATTCTTTGCAATAACGAATTAATTGTGAATTACAAAATTGCATGTGTCAGGTTTGAAATTTAAACAAAGATAATTTAATTATATCTTAAACTCGTTAGACTAACCAATCAGGATTTCCCAAACGAAACTACATTTAATCAAATATATTTAATCAAATAAATGAATATTTATGGAATTTTACAAAACTTGGGAATATGTCTTCTAAAATTTATGGTTGATATTTGCTAATGATTAATGGATTTCCGATAATATTTTTACTAATTTTGTTTTGTACTGTATAGATAAATCCATAATTATACTTACAAATATATTGCTGTAAAAAGTTATTGGATCAAACACAATTTTTCACCATTCTAAATTTAAATGTGTAAATTTAAATTTGTGAATCCCTTCTATTTGTAGAATATATTTATAAATTATCGGTGTCGCTCAATAGTTAGATTAGGTTAAATAGCTAATGTTTCATTAAAATGTGTATATAAAGCTAGAGAAATTATTTATGCACGGAAGATCTGAATTAAATTGTGGCAATTAGTTTATGTCGTATTTTATTAAGATTACAACAATTAATAGGGATTAAAATTTCACATGTCTTTTTATTTTAAAAAAAGGACAAAGAAATATTAGTTATTTGCAAAAAAAATGTTCAAATGATATATAATACTTAATTTAACCTCCCAGTGGGCGCACACGTGTTTTCCATTACATGCGCATTGGTTTTATGAAGGGGATACAGATAAAATATATTTTCTGGGTCTCGGCTTCCCAAGGTATTCCTTCAGTGTCTTTCAGGCCGTCAATTCGCTCAGATCGCGTTCTGTTAGCATATGTTGTTTACGTAGAATCAATTTTTAAGATATCAGAGCATTTTTTCAAAAAAATGTTCCTATAGAGGATATGCAGGAATTGCTCAATGCCGATGAAAAGCGAGGGAAGTGCAAGTTATGCAAAAATACAACCACCATCCTCAAATGCAACAAATGCTTTCATTTTACTTGCAAAAATATTTGACGACAATTATTATTTGCAATAATTATACTACAACTGAAAGCGTATAAAAATATTTTTTATTAATCCATTTTCTAATGAAAGGTAACACTTATTTTTTTGATAAATGATTATTTAGATATCATAAACTTTCATCGCATAATACTTTGACGATATTATGCTTTAATTTTTCGAATTTTCAATCTTATTCTACGGTGTTCTCTGTACACGGCGCGCTCGCTCCCGTTATGAAAGGGCGCACGCTTACTGGAAGGAAATAAATATTTATTTCATTATCTTTTTTATAAGAAATCTTAGATTTGTTATTTTACAATTTTTATCAAGCCGCACGCGTAATTCGTCAAAGTATACTTGAAATGATAATTCTGCATAAATCTGAAATATTCAGAAAATATCACATGACTAGCAAAAATATAAATCAATCTACAAGGACTCCTTACTGTTCAAAAAAAATTTGGCTATAACAGGGCAATAGAAGTCAGGCATGATAATCGTTGCGCAATTATCGCAACTATCATAAGCGCGTCAGTTTAATAAAGAGTTTTGTGTTATATCTGTATATTATTTGCACAACAACTACCGTGCCTGATTTCTATTCTCCTGTTATCGCCAAATTTCTTCTGAACTAGCAAAAACCTTTTATAAACTTTATTGAATTTTTCACAGTGCGTACTTTTTGGTACTTTCATGATCTGGTTCGCCAGCATAACTATCAATCTGGGACCCACGTTTCTTAGTGGGGCCTTAGCGGCGAACACGGAAAGCAGTCATAACGCGCCCAGCTGTCCATTGGTACATGGACCTTTTCGCCACTACATACTCAATGCTCTTTGGATTGTCATCAACATCATTTGCATAGCGCTAACGCTCTTTCACTTACGAAAGTTGCACAGAGATTTAACGAAAGCTAATGTCGAAGCGGTAAGCGGCCATATCAATGATATGAATTCAAAATCTATACGAACGTATTAATTCCAATTATACACAAATGATAAAAATATATAAATTTACACTTAATAAATAATTTTTATTCCTATCACTTATAACATATTATAAAAGTAATATATAAATATTACAATATATAGAAGAAAGCCCCCTATTATGAGATAAGCACCTATATGAGATAGTGGCGTTTCTGCTAATAAATGCTATCTATTGGTTCTACCATGAATTTATTGGATTCAAAATTATTTAGTGGAAAATTCATTATTAGATGCCTGTAGTCTTGTAAAAAAAGATTTTAGAATTTGGATGTCTTCAAGTTTCATTGAGATGAGCCTTTAAATCTTGTTTATTATTTAATAAGTAAAAATATTTAGCAATAAATTCTTCATGTAACGATAGAACCGAATATAATCTAATTAGTAAACCTATTTAACATTGTAGCGTAGGCATGATGGAATCCATCTGTATCTGAACGATTTAATCATTTCTTTGCATACATATATGTATAATACTTTTTTTCGAAATTAATCATTTATTTAAATTCCTCTCCTGATCTAAAATTTGAATGTTCTCCCAATCAAATTCATATTTTAATTCAATTCTGTGGTCAGTAATTACTGATTGCGTTTTTGCGTTCCAATTAATATGATTACGATGTTCTGCAATTCTAGTATATAATTTCCTATTCGTTTGTCCGACGTAGGATGCGTCGCAGTCTTTACAGCAGATCTTATATACCACGTGTTTATCAGAATTATTTGAAAGAACATTCTTCTAATCCTACGGAACCTGTTGAGCTTATTGTTGCTGATTTTAAATTTTCATTCTTAGAAATTGATAGGAATCTATTCGTTGTTGTCGATGTGTAAGGCATAACAAATCATGGAGCTTTTTTACTATTATTTTGATTAGTATCTGACTTTTGTTCAGAAATCTCACGCCTTGAAAATAAACATTTTAAACATGAGGTACAGTTTCAAAAGTGATCTCTATTGAATAGTCATTATTTAACAGCGTATTAATTATGAGCTCAATATTTTTTTGATGGAACTTTAGCTCTGAGTAGCACTGCTCTATCTGTCATTCCTATTATTACTCCTTTTTTTTTTAAGAAATAGGATGTGATGACAAAAAATTGAGATATCCCGAAAAAGTTACCTTATACCAATCGAATTCGATTATTGTTATTCATGATCGTCACATCCAAGAAGTTAATTTTGTCTTCACTGTTTTCTAATATGAACTAAGTCTCATGTGAAAGGAGTTGAAAGTTGTTAATATTAAATCAATTAAATTGTCCGACACTGCCATAACAATATCATTCACGTATCTAATATAAAATGACAAATGACTCCAATGGTCTCTAAAGCCATTGTCTCCAAATCCTGCAAAAGTAAGTCTGCAACAATCGGAGACAGAGGTGAGTCCAAAGTGTCAAAATTCTGTTTTTAATATTCGTTATTAAAACTGAAATATGTTGAATTTAACACTAATGTCACTGCTTTAAAAATTTCATTTTTTTTTTAATTCTAGTACCTTTTTCAATATTAATTCATCTTTTTACCACATTTTTTATTATCAATTCAATTGGGATATTAGTAAACAGTGAGACCATGTCTAAAGATATTAAAGAGTATTTCAGTCCTATATATATAAACCCTTCAATTTTTTGACAAGTTGGAAACTACTGTCAACCTTATTAAAAGGTTTTATAATATTTTTTTAAATAATATCATATAAATAAGTCGCCAATGAATATAATGGACTATCTATTGATGAAATGATTCTAAAAGGTGCCTCCTCTTTATGAATTTTTGGTTGGGCATGTGCCCTTGGTAAATTATCTTCACTGATTAAAGTTCTTTTATAGGTCTGTTCGGAAATATAATCCTTCTTTTTCCAACTAGTGAGTAACTCTCGAACATTTTTTGGTAATTTTTATTAATTTAGTGTATGTCTCCGGATTTCGAAGCATGTTTGTAATTTTTTGAATGTATAAGTTTTTATCCAATGCCATGTTCCCTTTATCAGTCTTGGTAAAAATTATATTTAGATTATTTTTTATCCCTGGTGAAAAAATTTCGCTGAAATTATTTCACACTTTGAAGCGAAATTGTTGAAAATTTACTGAAATTTCATTGAAAGTGAATTTTTCAGCTGACCTACTGAAAAATTGTTAAAACTAAACTGAAATTATTCTGAAATTTCTTTGAAATTTTTACTAAAATTTTGCTAAAAATCGCTGAAATTAAACTGAAATTTTTTTGAAATGCTGAAATTTTGCCGAAAAGTTTTTTGTTTCAAAACATGGAATAATTTCAGCGAAATTTTTCCACCAAGAATGGGTCATATATTTTACTAAAAGAAAAATCCTTTTGATGACGAGTTATTAAACAAGGAGGATAAAAAATTGTTCAGTATGAAGATAAATAAATGCCTAATGTTCAAGATATTTTATAAATCTAAAATTATTTTCTATGTTCTTAATAAAGTCTATTAAAATGTGTTTTTCCGATATGCTAGAGGTAAAGATTGTAAATTCTTCCCTTTCCGATTGATTGTAAAAGATGGATTTTTGTTTTGTAAAAAATTCATTGCAAATGCTTTTTGCGATGTGATTCATAATAAATTAAAAAATCTCTTTTTGAGAATGACAGATAGATCTATGTGCATCATTCAGTTCAATTTTTAGAATTCTCAAAATAAACTAATTTTTAAAATGATTATATTTATGTAAAGATCGAAAATGAGACAAATTGAGCTTATAATTTAACAGATAAACTGAGTGTTGAGAAACTATATTATACTTAATGTAAGTTTTGACAAATTTTATGCGTGTCTTACTCTTAATAAAGATTTTATAGAGGTATTTAATGGTATTTTAATAAAAAAGTATTACTTAATGTTGTTTAATTGCTTTAATTTTATAAATTTCTTTTGTGTTTACATAACACCATCTTTATCTCCAGGTACGAGTAGCTGGTCTTGTTACAACACTCGTTAATGTGACAGGAGGACATCATGGTGCAACAAATGCGCTTGCAACTGAAGACGGTGACACAAGGAACGGTACGACATCAAAAGTAAGTCAATTACGTTAATGATTTTCAACAAAGGAGCATATTTCTATACAGGTTGTTCATAAAAAAGCACTCAGCATTTATAAGGTACATACCACACTGAATAAAAAAATCCTTCGCGGAAACTTATATGTTTGAATAAAATAAATATTTCCACATTATACATTTAATATAGTTCTTTTTAATTTGTGACTTGGCTTGTTTCTTTATTATTATATTTTATTTATTATTATAATTGCTATTATCTTTTATGTGTTTTATATAATTGCATGCGATATGAAAATTTATCTTATTGTCAGTATTTACAAACCGCATTCCGTTGTTATCATTCAATTTCCATACACACTTTACAATGAAAGATTTCACTGGGAAAGATTTTACCAGTAAACTGGCATCAACAGGCGATTGTGACTAGATAGGCATTATGGGAGATCACCTCACTGGACCTATAATTCTCTAAATAGGCTATCAGGTACTGCTTTACTTATTTCAATTTTTCTCTTTCCACGTCGCAATACGTAAGGATCAGCTAGTTGGTCACGATACTATAACATATTATACAAAATTGTTTATATATATTTCAGAAACAGTTTAATTTTCGACTTATGTTTACATCATTTACTAACAATAAGACTTTTTTATTCAGTACAGTGTGTACCACTCGCCATATAAAGCGTTCATGCTGAACGCCCTGTATATGCTAATAAATCTTTACAAAATCCTTTCATTTTAATTGGCAATTTAAATAACAGTTTTATTTTTTTCCAAAAACCGCATTTTAAATATCACTAACAATATTATTGTATTTATGACAATATCAGTTATTTTTATGTGTATATTCTTATATAGGATGAGTAAAAAGTCTCGGACCGGTAAAACATCTTGAAAACTAAGCATTTCCGAAAGAAATGCATTTCCAAGAAATGTGGTAGGGTTTTAAATGATTTATTCACTGATCAGTCTGACCTTGGATGACGTCGCCAAGGTCAGGTCAAAGTCACATCGATTTTTTTAAATGGCACACCCTATTTTTGATTCCAGAATCTAATAGCTGATGTCAAGAGCTTTTCACAATACTACAATAAAGTTATTTTTCATAAAGTACTTTTCGAGTTATAAGGCTTGAAATTTACAGTACCGCCGGCATTAGCCGGCATTAATTAGTTATCATTTCATCGATCCAGAATTTTTTATTTACCCAGTGTATCAATAAATGTAACGTTTGTATGTGTAAACCAAGACATAAATGAAGGAGAAAACGAACCGTAACATGTGAATTAAAGGATTTAAAATTATTTAGAAATAATGTTTCAGAGAACAGGTGCCATCGAAGAGCACCGGAAAATGAGGAATTACCTCAGGCGAATAGAATACGAGGGTGTACAAAGAGTAAAAATGTTCCTGGTCATAACAGCAGCATACGTCTTGTTCTGGGGACCATTATTTTTTGTTACCCTGGTGCATCATCCTGCCATAGGAAATCCTATTGGTTATGAGGTAATTAGAACGTATAGAATGCTGCGATGAGATAATGGGAAGTTTGTATCCGCATTCGCGTTACTTCCGCGAAATTTAGACATTATCGATATTTATGTTCCTACAAATATCTCCCGGTCATTACTTATCTTGCTTGTAATGGTGCATTTGTGCACTGCACTTGCGATAATGGTGCGAATATTAATAGCTCGGCATACAAATACTTGCTACACTTTAGCGGATCGAACTTCGTCCTTGTAAAAGCAGCAATGATATGTCACGTTGTTTATTCATTCCGCTAATGCGTTCTCTTATTCATTTCAAAAGATACATTCGCCAGAAATAATCGACGGCATACTAACAGCTTATATAAGCATTATAAATATAAATGAATATAGCTGAGTTGACGTCACACAAGTAGATTTTATGACCGAAATCAATTACAAATAACGAAGTTAATTGTCTGACCGTGAATAATGTCCGAAATGAATAAATGAATACGAATTTCTCCTTTCTTCTTTCTTTATTTTTAATAATTACAATTCGTTATATATGATTTTTTAAATAATTATGATACTGCAAAGTCTAAAATACACGTGTAAAGCAAAACAAAACTTGCCAAGCGATTTATGGCGGATAGTTCCACTTCTGATAACGATACATTTGTTCCAATAGGAATAAATGCGAAAACTTGGCGAGAAAACATGAAAATGTAAGTTGCTCGACCGTGCCAATATAGAGTTGTACATGAATCACTCGAGCGAATCGAGCGAATTCGCAGCTATCGAGTAGTGTTCTTCTAAAGAATCTTTTTACGAATATAAATTTTCAAGAAAGGAAAGTCTCCACCGAAAAACACGTTGAGTGACTTGAAGACATCGCGCAGCAGTTTTGCGATATAACGTCGTAACAGATGCACAAAATAGCCGCATTTTATCTTCTCAATGCGCAATAAACTTCCAGTATTTTGATAATATGAAGACCACGATATAGTGAAAGCATAATTTAAGAAAAGATAAATTTTCTTGTTTTCTGTCTAAATATGTATAAACTCTGAAATGTTATAATATGCTTTATGACGTAAAGATCTTTTTAAAGAACAAAAAATATACATTTACAGAGTGACGATAAATATTTTATAAACAGATTCTTTGTAATATTTTAGGAAAAGTCTAATACAAGAAATCGAGGCTATGATTGAATTTTTAAATGAAAAGAGTTTAAAAATTACGAATGACGAGGCTAGAATTTCGCACACTTAGGGATGGCAAAATGATCAAGATTACGTATTTCTTCAAACTTCATGCCTTTAATAATAATAAAATTCAACTTTTTCACGCACTGTCTTGCCATCTACACCTGAAAGTGCGCAAAATTCTAGCCCTATCATTCGTAATTTTTAAATTCTTTCCATTTGAAAACTCATAACTTCGACATTTTCATTATTTTTTTTTCTTTTTAAAATCTAACAAAGAATCTGTCTTTAAAGTATTTATCGTCAATTTTGGAATGTATATATCACTTTATATATATATATATATATCATTATATATATATATATATATATAAAATATATATATATATTAGGACAAATATATGCATATATTGGACATGTATTATGAAATTGTTCGAGATTGGAGGAATCCGTGCCGACGGCTCGTTAAACATTTGAGTTCCCTTATATCTCAACATTGATTTTTAAGCATATTTTTTATAAAAATCAGTTTAGGGGATTTTTCTTTTTTTTTTTTTAACATGTGTGTTTTGCTTTTCTGCATCGTTTGAGATCTTATACGTCTCATTTAAACAATTAGGAGTATTGTTAATGAAAAAAAAAATAAAAAGAAATAATTAGTGTAACTCTGGTATATACACCGACGGTCTTTCTTTTTTGATATTTAATTATTTTTCTTTGGGCATCAGTTTGTAAAAAATCGGGGTTTCTTCAGTAATCAGGGGATCTCCTTCCAGTAATCAATACATCACTAAATAAACTTGTTTCTTCTAACATTTTTTCTAAGATTTATTATAAATCCCAATTTTTTACAAATTGACCTTTAACCTGGTCTACAAACGACCATTTAACAAAAAAAACTCCATATTGTTAAGAACTTAAAAATTGTTAATGACACAGCAGAACGAGGAATAAATTACCGATTACAGCAATATTATAACAAAGGATGAGAAACAAAAACAATTTTTATTAAAAGTTGTTAGCGACTATCGCAAACAGTTTCCAGATGCTAAAAAAAAAACTTTTTTGAAATCGCAGTTGTTAAAAAGAAATTAATTTTGCGGTTAAGTTAACGTAAATATTTTTATATTATCATTGTATTTTATAAATTATAAATTATAAAATATAAATTATAAAAAAATCAATAAAGTAATTTTTAAAAAGTACATTTTTCAGACAGATTTTCATTTGCTAGGTGCCCTAAGAAAAATAATAAAATATCAAAAAAGAAAGACCCATCGGCATATACAGGGTGGGCCATCTATTGGTACGTTTTTAAAAATGCGATCAAATGAGCATACATTGATATTTTTTATTAATTTTTTTTTTGTTGTGAAGCTAAAAGTATCCGCGTCAAGAATGAAAAACGATTTCGTTCATGTGGCTCCCTCTACTGGCCTTACAGTATGCCATTCGGTCACCCCAATTATTAATGACATTTTGGACTACCTCGGCGCCAATTTCACTCAAAACAGTCGTAATATAATGTCATCCACTAACATCCCTTTCTCACGAACTTTCCTCACCAATTTGCGTATAGCTCCTTCGGTGGGTGCTCTATCACGACCCATATTTCTTTTCAAAATTCGTACAGTTTCGGCGACACAGCACTGACTTTGAAAATAAGTTTTTAAAATTTCAAAACGCTCTTCAAGAGAAAACATGTTGTTTCGTGCCGCGGACGGTATGACTAATAAACTGTCAAAATTTCGGGTCTGTAGCTCGTTCGGTGTTGCCATACGACGAAATTCAAAAACGTACCAATAGATGGCCCACCCTGTATATCGGAATTACACTACTTATTTATTTTTATTTTTTAATCATTAACAATGCACTTAATTGTTTAAATGAAACGTGTGAGAGTATCTCAAACTGAATAATTATATATTGTATAGGTTTCCATATGAGCTATTTTTAATTATTATTTGTATTAGCTGTTGATCTGGAGTGGTATCTATGTCTACTGGATTGGTTCTGATAATTTCCAACATACATCTTCCTATGTCATAGAAGTTATCTATCTTTAGATCGACAGTGATGAATGTCTTTGTATAACGTATGTTAACTTTTTGAAAATAGTTTGAAAAAAAAACTGAAACGTAAATTTTTTTTGCTTCTAATTAATGTTTGTAAGTTTGAATATTTTTGCTCATTGATAATCGCGCTTTGAATCGTATGCTTGTTTTTTTAAATATAAATATTTTTAAATATAATATTCCTTAATTTAAATAGATATCCTTAAATTATCCATGCAAATTAAACTAATATTTTTCAAAATTATATAAATAATAAAAAACTAATGTTTTTCATTATTCTTATGGGATAAACTAATTACATCATAATTTCATTTTCATATTTAAAAAGAAGTGCAGATTATACAGTTTCGTTTTATTTTTTTTCTACTTCATAAACACATGCAATTTTGAATTAGCTTTAGATTTATGTTTGCAGTAGCACGATGCAAACTATACACCGCATCTAAATCACTGGATTTCACGGTTTGTTGTAACAGGTGACCCTGCACATCGCATATGTGCACGCCTTCGTAAACCCGGCTCTATTCCTTCTCCTGCACAGAGGGCTGCGACAAGGGATGTCGGACGTGTGTTGCGGCTGCTGCGAAAGCATAGCCCGATGGATCCTTGGATCCACCGCGACTGGTTCGATGCAGAACGTTCAACTATCTCTATATGAACCGCCGATGAATCTCCCCTCGCCGCCGGATCCACCCATGGCAGCTTCGGCTGCATCGTTGAGATGTAATCTTACTGACGTGGCTCTCCTACAACCACCTCTGCCACCGACTGCCAAGCACTTACTGATGGTAAGACACTCTCTCTCTCCCTCTCTCTCTCTTCCCCCCTCTCTTTCTCTCTTTCTCTCTCTCTCTCTCTCTCTCTCTCTCTCTCTCTCTCTCTCTCTCTTTCGTTAAAATAATTATTCAAACTTATCCCGAAATCGCGCTTAATTACTTAAAGATTGATCTTAACTTTCCTCTTTCAAAGATATTATCCCATAGTTACTTGAAAGTCGCTTGGACTGGTATTCATATAGGCAGTATTTATAGTAGATTCTTATATTCGAGATCGTCAAGTACAATTTTAAGATGTCACGAACCAATCAGAGGGTCGTATTAGCATCTTAAGGAAGGAAATACCTTTACAACCTTCAAAAAATTTTTTTTGCATAAAATGTTAGTACAACATATGAAGAATAACTGACAAAATTTTAAATCGAAATTCGAAGAATTGGCGGAGTTATTATCCTATAACGCGTCAGAGCGCGCCACAGGTATAGTCGTGCACTCGGAGCAAAGGGATTCGTCTATTGTGATCCCCTCAAGTGGCAAAAAAGTCAAAAAATCGGTGGAAATTTTGAATATCCTGCCCTACTGCATCCTGATGTCCAAAAACATATCCTGCCAATATATGAAGATCTATCCAAGGAAAATTTACTTCAAAGATGCTTGGATGGCTACACGCAGAATGCGAATGAAAGTTTTAAATCAACTATATGGCGCCTCGCTCCAAAGCATCTACATTGTGGGTTAAAAATTATTGAGATTGCAGCGTACTTGGCTGCTGGAGTATTCAACGAAGGTCATTCGTTCATCATGAGTATGTCGGATATCATAATAGGCAGGCAAAGTAAATCGTATGACGACAATGATGACCAGCGAGTAGCTCGGCAAAAACGTCACAACTTACTGGAAACAAAAGAAGCTCGTAAAGCTCGTCGAGAGCAACTTTTAATGAAAAACGAGCTTTACGAGGAAGTTGAAGGACTGTTGTATGGTCCTGGGATCGCAGACTAACCAGTAAGTCAATAAAATCATATTTTTATCTTTCAAAACTTTGAACGCGTTTTTCTCAAAACGTCATTTTCAAAATTGATGTACAAGATAGTTAAAAAAACTACTTAACGATCCTCTTCAAATTGAACATACAACTAAATTACAACATACAATAATTACCTTCTATGTGAACCTAAATGTTTATGAAAATTATTTTAAAAAAGTACTTTTTATTGCAAAATTCAACAAAAATTTTGTGAAAAATTCAAATTTTTTTTCAAACATGCATTCATTTTTTCAATTTTCATTTTTTTCACTTTTTTTAGGTTCACATAGAGCGTATACATCTTATTAAATTAAAAAAATTTTTTTTATCTGTTTCAGATCAATACAACAGGAGCTACATGTCTCACCGATTGGCAACTCATATCGCTACCTCTGTTATTTGAGACGCTTCAGTATTTTTTAATATTTTGTAATAAAAAAATATATATGTACTCAAAAGATAGACAAAGTGACATAAAAAAATTTGAAACAATTAGCCAAATAGTTTCTATTTAAAAAATTCTGGAAAATTGCAATTTTTTTAGCCTTCTAAAGGTATTTCCCCCCTTAAGACATTATTTAGGACTGCCGCAAATAAAATTTCTGTAACAGTAACCTTAAGACGTAAATTTAAGTTGATAAGCCAATTAGAATACTGCTTTAAATCTATGCACTCTAACGGAAATAGAAATAGCAGTAAACTTATCCATAAGATAAGTTTCAACCGGTTGAAATTCACCTTATTGCGAGATTATGGAGTAAGTTTACTGTTGTTTTTCCATTTCCATTAAATTACATAATCTAAAGCAGTATCCTGATTGGTTCATCGACTTAAATTTACACTTTACGCATACTTACGGAATTTTGTGTATAGCAATCCTTAAAGCGATCTCAAAAGAACGGATTATGAATATCAGCCATAGTCAAGTCTTATATTTAAAATTATCTTAAATACAGTCTTAAGTACAGTCTTAAAATGTCATGAACCAATCAGGAAATCATATTACCATCTTAAGATATTACTTAAAAAATATCGATGTGGATTTAACATCCATGCGGTTTACATAATTTTCGCTGAGTTGATGTTAATATTAATATCAATACGATGTGAATTTTAAATCTCTGGTGTTTGTATTAACATCATGGTGTTAAATCCACATCATTGATGTTAACATCAACATAGTGAGAATTACAATAGATTGAAATGGATTGAAATTTTTTTCTATCCGAATGCGTATTTTATATATATATAAATAGCAAATATTTTTTTTTGGATTTAATTGGATTCAATTGGATGCAATTGGATTGAAAAACTGCATTTCCTATTTAAAATTTTGAATTGAACAGTATTCACATATGTGTTGTGCATAGAAAAAGCTAATATCATTTTTAGATTGAAAAGCATAGAGATATGCTTCATGCAATTCCTATAAATAAATAAAAATGCATTCAGGATTGAAAAACATTCATTTTAATATTCGTGAATCAATATTTCTGAAAATTTAAATCCATTTCAATTCATTTCAATCTATTCTCATTTGCTGGGTAATGTCTTAAGATACTAATGCAATTCTCTGATTGGCTTACAACATCTTAAGACTGTATTTAAGACATTCTCAAATATAAGAATCGATTATGAATACGAACCTTAAACTAGTTTTCTTTGAAGCTTCTTCTTTCCAAAAATGTTAACATATATGTAATTTTTATTATAATTATATGTATATTTTTATGTATAAAAATTACCCAAACTTACAATATAAAAGCAGGAAAATTACAGGACAACTCCGTGATATCACCAGATCCTTGGAGTTTGATTTCAAGACCGAAAAGCACTTCTAGCCTGTATGAAGAGGAACTATCTAGAAGACCGAGCTTCCTGCTACCACCACCGGCGGAACTGAACGATCTGCAAATGAGTGCGACGAGTAGTGATTCACCCAGCGAATAAATGGACCTTAGTCAACATCGAACCAAAAAATCATAACGTTAATCGATTACAATGTAAAAATAATTGCAAAAATGATGAAAAACAGATTTTCAAGAAAAATCCTTTCTATATCCTCTTAATCTTCTGCAGCATTATACTTCAATCAGACGTTCACAATATTATTGATAAAAAGCCGAAATCAAATAAGTCATGTGTTACGAATTACAAATATTGCGTCATATAAGCATTTTTTAATGAACGTTAATATAATATATTATCAGCGAAAATATCACAACTGTTTATAATTGCGTTTGAAAATATCTATAAAATTTTACAATTCTTAATGTTAATATTAATTTAGATAGAGTAGAAGATTAAATACCATCGTAAATTTATACAAAATTGTAAATTTTATTTTTACGGACATATTTAATGCAATATCAAGAAACAAATATACATCAAGATATTTTAAAATTAATTATATGAATAATGCAGCTTGAGTTTTAGGAATTGAAATTATTGAAGAATCAGTTACATGTATATTTACTTTTATATAGGTTTTAAGAAACAGACTGACTTTTTCAAAACTCGTATTTATATCAATTTCCATAGATGTCACATTCAAAATCGTAAGTTAAAATGTAATGTAAAAATTATTGCTTCCATATCTGAAAAATGTTATCTTGCCATTAGAATGAATATGCACTCCATTTGTTACAAATTTACGATTAAAATTTTTTCCGACAATTTTTTCGATTTTTATCACAAAGCACGAATGACTTTTTGTCATTCATGATATTCTAGAAATAATCATTTTTATTACATTTCTAAACAATATTATAGTGGAATACATAATTAAATAATAATAAATTAAAATTATTTTAACTATCATTTGTATGCCATTAGCAACGCAATTTAAATTCTAGATGATATATGCGTTAAACAATGAAAATATGTTTATTTATCATTGCAAGCTATTATAAAGACTGGATACTACTCACACAACATAGGTCTCCAAGGAGCGTCCTAGGATATGATCCACTTCGCTGCAAATACTTCATTGACCAATCAGAAGATAGAATTTTACGAATTGACCAATCAAAGAATGTTTCAAAGCATGAAATGGATCGCACCCTAAAGATGTTTCAAAGGATACTATTACGTTCTAAAGATGTTCCTATAGGATGTCTCTCGAATAAAATGTGCTGTATCATATATTATTCGATATCGTATAAGTTGAAATTTAATTGCTTTTTTTTTAATATTACAATAATTGCACATCGTGACCAAATCTAGAAAATAAAATGCGATAAATCGAAAAAGAAAGAAATGTAGTCCACTGGGCATCATCATCTAAATGTATCTGTGATTGCTTATAAACGTCCTAGTCTCTTCGCCGCTGTGGTGTCACTAACAGATTCTTATATTAGGAGACATATATATTATACATATACAGGATGTTCGAAAAATCGCCCGCAATACTTCGGGAAATAATTTGATCCAAAAAGAAGAAAAAAAGCTATATAAACATAGGTCCGGAAATAAGTCATTTCCGAGTAATAATCACTTTTATGTTAACAAAATTGTAATTTATTTTTTATAATCACAATCATAATTTCAGTGTTTTAACATAAATAATTACATTCGGACTTTTGATATTACCCAGGATGCACTACGTAGAGGCAGTCCGCTTGGATTATCCTTCTTTTTTATTTTTGAGTTTCAAATTTTTTTGCTTTACCAGAGGGATGTCAAGCGGGCTATACCTCCACGTGGTGCATTCTGGGTAATGCCAACTTCCAATCCCGAATTACTTCCCGAAATATTGCGGGCGATTTTCCGAACACCCTGTATATATATAAAATATATGTATAATGTACACATATATACAAAGCGATTACACAATACTTTAAAGTATTAAATAACATATATTAATTCATGTAATCTGCTTTTTCAGCTGTCAGAACGAAATTAAAAATGAAACAAATATCTGGCGAGTCAAAGAATATATGATGGAAAATATAATTAATTGAGAAGGATTAAGTATAATTTCTTCATTTAGCCGAATTAAGTAGATGCACTTATTAAATGTACATACAATCGAATATGCAGTCCTGCCGCACTAAGTCTTTCGTAAAATGATACTCTCACGTGAGCTTTTCCCTCATCTAGGGATTCAATCTTCTCGAGAAATGAGAGAATACTATATACATATATTGAATTACAAATATATTTTCTATGCGACATTACTGAGATTGCACTCGTTGCAACCGCAACGTCCTGCTGCCCTAATTATGCGTTATACCAATGTTATTTTATGCAAATGAAAAAGCTTAACGAAAGTAAGGAAAAAATCAGCCGTTTATTTTACAAATGAGGAACTGAGAATAATTACAACCAATGTTAATTAATATGTATCCCAATTTTATTGAAATTCTTTACTATTAATTGTACGTTTGTTATAACTGTCCATAATTGTTCTCAATGAATTTGTCTCCGGTATTTATTTTCATATTTATAAATTTAATATTACATTTAGGCCTAGATCCACAACTCACGGTTAACTCTTAGCCGAGATGCAACTTATTATTCATTGTCTCTTTCCCATTCTAGAATTGGAAAGAGATGAGAAACAAGTTGAACCTCGGTTAAGAGTTAACCGTGGTTGTGGATCTGGGCCTAAATGTAAATTTATAAATATGAAAATAAATACCGGAGACAAATTCATTGAGAACAATTATGGACAGTTATAACAAACGTACAATTAATAGTAAAGAATTTCAATAAAATTGGGATTCATATTAATGAACATTAACTGTAATTATTCTCAGTTCTTCATTTGTAAAATAAACGGCCTTACAATGAATCAACAAACTAAAAGCTATATATGTTCCCATACATTTCAAATTCTTACTACTAATAATTCTTATTACATTTCTATAATAAAAAAAATCTCGAGTGGTTTCGAAGTCTTACAAAAAGAAAAATCGACTCGAAAAATTATAACATGAAAATTAATAATACACGATACAAGAAAAAAATGTTGAAACTCTGAACACCAAAATAAGAAAAATCATAATGTTAAAAACAATCAAAACTCAGTTAATTGTATTATAATTAACACATTAATTTGTAATTTTTTAAAGCACATATATTTGTGTATATATATATATATATATATATATATATATATCACATGAATTAAAAATATTCCTAATTACGAGAATAATTAACAGTAATTTTTATTAATTTTATGCAAAAATTGTAAAAATTATTCATATCAAGCTGTCGAAGTTAACAGGTTATAACTGAATGAATTGTTTAAAAAATCTAATTAATAAGCATTTTTCAATCCTAAAAAGATATTTAAATTTTCTGAATATAGAATTTAATGAAGAATAATTTCTTAATATATTTGTATTATTTATAAGTCTGATTAGAAACAATATAGATCAAAATTATTACGATTTCTTCAAAAATTATAAAAAATATGTATTATTGACATAATTAAACTTATAAAGTATACTGTGTGAGTATAGAAATTGTTTTTTATTGTATAGTGAAAAACATATCAATATAAAGAAGTGTTGTGTTTAAAAACAAGTATGCAGTATAACATTTATGTGACGAGTATCAATATTTACTAAAATTATGTGAGATTAATATCTTCACCCAATCACTTCTTTTTTTATTCACCGGAGATGTATTAAAAGCAGCTCGCACGGATGCTGCTTAGATAAAAGTCAATTAACTGGAACTATTACAGAATATTTTCTTCTTAAGTGTATCGTGTGTAATAAATGTTTAATGTAAATTAATGTAAATTATACGTGTAAGAAAGTGACAGAATGAAACCGAAATTTTTTATCGTAATTTTATAAATGTAACATCGAGAATAGCATGATCGATTAATGGCAATTGTAAGAAAAAAACAAGATACATTAATATGAGATGCGTTTAAATAGAAAATTTTGCTAAACTTTAATCAAACCGTATACTTTTTACAATATTATTTTAATTTAGCCTATAATTACTTATTTTATTTCTCAATGGATTGCAAATAAACTTTGAGACCATATGCTTAAAATTTGTATATATTTTAAGCATATTTTAAGATATATTTAATGCTTGTATGTAATATAAAAAAATTAAATTTAAAAAATGAATATATCCATTTATAATGTAATTGTCTTATTAAATCTTTATACTAATTTTATTTAATTCCATTAATCTTTTAACAGCAAGTATCTTAGAATTGCTATAAAAATCGATTATTTTGAAAGCATTCTTGAAGGCCAAAGCGAATTATTCTAAATAATCTCATCAGGGCAAAGTATTATTATTAAGAACATTTCTAAGAGAAGGGTGCCTGAAAAACCGAAACATTGCTGGAAAGTATGTGAAATGACATTATCCTTGTTAGAAAGAGAGTATGCATTGTATTTAAATGTATATAATATAAAATTCTGCTCACATATTTAAAATAAAAATACGTGTAATATATAAACTATACGTTCTTCTTATTATTATTAATTTCATCACTAAATTTGATTAAATTAAAAAAATATTGCGTACTTTAAATATAGCGATAGATTTTTTAAATTGATTTTACATTTATATATCTAATAATTTTAGAAAATATTAATATTTTTATCGAAAAAATTTAAAGAAAATGAGTTTTAAAGAATAATGGAAAAATATTTTAAAGAAAATCACTTACATTTACTAGAAAAATCAAAACAAAGATATACATTTTTATTGTCAAATTTTATTATCAAATAGCGATGATGAAGAAATCGTATTGATTCAAGGTATCGATATTAATTAGAAAAATTAGTAAAATCAAAACTGTAATTTGCTAACAAATATCAACAATTAAGCTATACCGAATCATTGAATTTTTAAGGAATAAATATAAAGAGATTGACAATCTTTTTTCTTCATTAATAAACTAATAAATTGTTATCTAGTTTACTTCCACATATATTATAATTGACAAATAGTAAACATATTATCCTTCAAATCCAAAATTTTTATAATACACACATTAACATTCTAAATAAATTACAAGTATTAAAAATTATTACATTATACAAAATTAAGTTTAAATAAATATTATTTAAAGTGTATTTTATCAATAATCGAAGTCAAAGATTCAATAGATCTGCATGTGTCTTGAACTCTTCTTGAATTCTTTTTTCGATTCCTGGTAATATTATATTGTTTGGAGTTATATTAAAACTAACATATATTGCTTTTCCAAACTTCATACTTAATCTCTTAGCCATGTTTGTGGATGTAGCATTTGCTATAGAACCCATGATTTTAGTTGCAATAGGCTGTTTCTCGAAACTTGATATAAGAGCAAAAGACAAGTCTTCCATGCTGCCATTAACGGAATCTCCAATCCACAGATACAAAGAATCTTCCATCCTTATTATTTGGCAATTAATATTAGTATCGCCGACTTTGGCAACAAAATTATGAAATTTGAAGCTGGATGGTAATAATTCTACTTCGGATTTTCTCTCTGCTGTATTTGCCATCATTTATACATATACTTTGGTTCCTTCTGTTACCTATAATAATATAATTTTAAAACATCAAAAAAATAAAAAACAAAAGCACAAAAGTACACTTAGAATAATGGTAATTATACAGAATAGGTAATTATCCAGAAGATACTCCTCACCTTCAATTTCATTGAAATTATGCTCATTCGATACATTTTTGTAAAATGAAAGAATCTGGCAGAAAATGTGCTCAGCCCCGTGAAGTGAGATATTAATTGTTAAAGTATTTTTTTTAATTGTTAAATTAACTATTATTAAGTTAGAAAATCTGTTGCATCGACAACATGAGGAAAAGTATTTTCTGCTTCAATTACACAAAGAGGAGACTTTATGTTTTTAAAGTAGAAAATTTGTTTTTAAAGCAGAGAATTTTTATTTTAAAGCAGAGATTTTAGATTATGTGTTTTGTGTCTGTTGTTTCTAATATTGTTACTCACATAATATCCTGAGTGATTCTTAGCCCTATATCATATTGTTTATTTAATTTAAACCAGAGAATTTGTGTAATTGAAGCAGAAAAGGTAATTATATAGTTTAGCACAACCATCTCAAAAATCGATAAAATTAAGTTTATTCGACACATTTTTGCGTGAAATGAAAGAATCTGGCAAAAAAAAACTGAGCAGAGATATTGAATGTTAAAATTGACAATTGAGGTTAAGAACTGTCATGTGGATAATGAGGTATATAGACAATAGTACTTATTGGTTCGGGAGCGATTACGCCGCTCCGAACAAAAAGTAAATAACATCCTACCCGCTTGAAGCCTAACTGTCTAGAAGTAGCAGCCTAAATTTAGTAAAAAGACCTTCTAAAAAGACTATTCTCACACCCCACTGTCTTCATAGGTTAGAAATATCCAAGTTCCAAGCAATGCTGCCCGCGCATGCGCGCAGTCTAAAACGTCAGTAGAGTATCTAATCCATTTGTGAAACTGGCGTCTTTAGTCGTTCCAAAGAGAAATAGAATTATAAATATATAGAAATTAGACATATCCCTTAGAGCGAAATCACACGGTGTAGAAAAGGGCCGCAGAATAAAGAATGCGTCATTGAAACAACCAATTAGCGCTATTCGGAATAACGCAGAAGAACGCTGATTGGTTGCTATAACGCATTCTCTATTCCACAGTTGTTTTCCACATCATGTGATTTCACCCTTATTGTGAGATATCAATTTCTACATTAACACTATTTATATTATCTATATGAGAAGCTGATTCGGCATGCCTTGATAAATTATATCGACAACATATAAGTGAAATATTACAAATTTTATACCAAGCTTTGTTATTCTCTGCCAACCTTTAAAAACATTTTCGTCTAATCAAAATCTTCTAAATTTTCGGATACATATTTTTTTTTAGATCTTTTTCTGACTCCATTGCGATTCATTTTCTGACCTAAAATACTTTATCTCATTTCTATTTTCCTCTTAGGATTCCTCGCACCTCCTGTTGACCAGTTTAGTGCGCAGACTTCGTGGTCCACACGGCATCATATCGTTACTTTAACCTAATCTAATAGCTACAGCACTGCGCGCTAAGCTGTAAACAACTCGCATGCGCGAGTACAGGGCACGTCTGGACTGACATTGGTTCCAAGCGGACACTGGGAGCATTTAGTGCTACAACTGAGCGTTCAGTGAGCTCTTGCATCTAATTGGCATATTCCGTTAGAATTAATAATATAGATTAAACAGATACAAAAGCTCACTGAGAGATATTCATAGTCAATCTTATATTCATGACCGTCTTAAATACAGTTTTAAGAAATCACGAACCAATCAGAAGGCTGTATTAGTATCTTAAGACATTACTTAAGATAGTCTTGAAATAAAAATCGACTATGAATACCGACCTTTGTCACTCTCTGAATGCTAACAAGGATAGAACGTGTCGACTTGTATCATCAAATGAAAAGCATCCAATAGAATTCTAAGGATTAAACCATAAGAAATGGACGATCATAATTGATTATTCTTCTCGAATTCGTCTGTAATTGGTCAATTTCTTATTACTTAAGACTTAACACGCCTATTGTAGATCTATATGTGCTATATATAGCACGATTATATAAATCAAATATAGATTTATCATCTCCAGCCTTGAAAAATGGACGATGTACCCTAAGAAAAGTGGACGTTGCTAAGAGTTTACATCCATTTTGTCAGAGGACAGTAGTGCGTGGCATCATTTTGCGGTTACAGGTTTTGACCTGTCATGTCCTTTCTCAGGTTTCTCTCTGTGATGCACTTCCTGGATTGCATGCGACGTGTATCTTAAGAATAGAATATCAAACCTTGAACAAAAGAAAGGAGAAACATGTCAAGAATAAGTTTTCGTATATCCTGTAAATATGAAAATCTACACGTGCTTCTTTCTCGGCGATCGCGAATGGAATCGGTGTAATAGAATATGAGCATGGAGTATAAAGAATAGGAGATCGAACTAAACTTTGAAAAGTGTGGTCAAAATCAAGTTTCTGAATTGGTGATGCTCGGTAAACGACGTTCGAATAAAAAAACTCCTCTCATATACACTTAGAGACTCCGCACAATAAAAGGAACAGAAAACAGAGAATAAGAATTTCAACCTATCAGAAACTGTGTATTCCACAATATATGATTTCTGATAGGTTGAAATTCTTATTCTCTGTTCTCTGTTCCCTGTTCCTTTTATTGTGCGAACCCTCTTATGCACACACAACTGAACACACACAACCTAAAAATAGAGACGTTACTCTTTGATATTGTGCTCTGACAGTAACAGAAAGACGTAAATTGTCATTAAAATTGTATGAAGAATAAAATTGATATAATCTGCCATGTAAACTGCGAGAATGATGTGATGGAACGAAGCGACATCTCGATTGAACTAATTCAGATGACCATTTTTGACCACATTTTTTGGCTTTGTCCATGTAAATTCAGTATATTCTCTATACTCCATGAATATAAGATTAGGTTAGGTGTCAGATCATTATGCCATCTAGTGTTACATGTTTGAACTGTCTCAATTTCGTCATAGCTTTTCTAAGCACAAATGGATAAGTGAAATTATCTATTATTCTTACACGATGATCCATACCGGTTGCAGTCGATTTGAATGCTCACACGCTTTAAGCGCTTGTAGTCATCATTCTGTCTTTATCGTTAGACGTAAAATAGGAATAGAAGTATTGAAAAGCTCTGAAAGAGTCCAAATCGATCGCAGCCACTCTCCAGACCTTTTTATACTGACGCTCAACTCTCATTTTCGGGATCGGTTCAATTGCATACTGTAGCAATTGCCCACTGCCAGTTACAGCAACTTCTGCCTAGGGAGTTTTTTTCCGAACGCTGTGATTGGCTTGTGCGCAATTGGCTCGTGTGCAATTGCAAGCCTCTCCTCATTTTCAGCATTGAAATAAATCGCGTGATCAAAATTGACTTGATGTTCATTAATTTCTATCACGTGACTGATTTTGACGCCGAAAATGAGCGTCGAGCATCAGCATGAAAAGGCACCTTGAGGTCTAATAAGCTTTCTGCCAGACAGACTGCGTTCAGGAATTACGCCCTAATAACATTAAGCTATAGGTTACGTTACGTATATTATAAGAAAAATGCACCCTAGAGTTATCTAGGCGTAACTCCTAGAGTACATTCCAAAACTCAACTCTGAGTAACAGAGTTAACTCTATGCCGTTCCAAAACGCGAGGTAACTGATCACATGGATGGAGCCTATTCGTTCCAAAAATATAAGTAAACCTATCTCGGAGTCAACTCTCTGAACCCTGCTTCCGAGGTGGGTTGAAAGAGTAAGTGCGGTAAACGAAATTTGAATAACGTATGGAAGATATACCTTAACAGCACAAACATCGATATGTCAACTGTAAGTTGACTTTGCTAAGTCAGGTCTTTAGAGTCGATTATAAGTCGATTTTGTACAGATGTCCTTCGATTGTCGACTTTAGGACGTCTAGTGCAATTTACGCTCACAAAGTTTAAATGTGGAATCATTTTATCCCTGTTGTTTAACTATAGTTAAATAAGGATGAATCGCTGAACAATGCTATTAAACATTGTGGGCACGAATCGGATCACAACCTAGAATGGTTGACTTAAAGTCGATTTATAGTCGTCTTTAAAGTGGGACATTGTATTAGAAACGTTTCTACGTCGTCTAAAGTCGAATTACGGATGTCCATTTTTCAGATGTCTAAAAGCTATAGTCGACTCAGAGTCGACTTTGTGTTGTTAGGGTATTATTACTTGTGACATGTAAAAATATTGGGTCATCTAAAAAGTATCCGCGGTACTTTGTCACTAGATATATGACCATCAACACACATCTAGTGAAAAAATCACGGATACTTTTTAGATGACCCAATACTAAAATGGTTCTAAAAATGGCGCGCGCGCGCGTGTGTGTGTGTGTGTGTGTGTGTGTGTCATGAAAGATGAATCATTCAATAAATAGCCTTAATTTCCTCAAAAATCAAGGAGGTATATTAAGGTTATTGACTTACATACATTGATTAAGACATTATATAAATGATGTGATTTTACGAGGGATATCCAGAAAATAAGTTCCGTTTTTTTTTACAAATAAAGTTTTTATTGAAAAAATCTAAAATTTACATGGATAATACTTGACAACTTCTAGTCTTTTTCTACATAATTCCCGTCAATCTCAATACATTTTGTATATCTGGAAACAAGCTTCGAAATCCCTTCTGCATAGAAACTTCCCGCCAGTTCTTTAGTCCAGTTAGTTACAGCTGTCTGAACTTCCTCGTCGCTTAAACGATGATTTAGTTAAACGACGATCATTGCGAATCGCATTTTCAATTTTTGTCGTCAACTCATCCGTGATAAGGGAGGGTCTGCCTCTCCCACTTTCGTCTTCAAGCGAATGTCTTCCTGCCTTAAATTCTCGGACCCATCTCCGCACCATAGATTCACTCATCACACTCTCTCCATATACAGAAACAAGCTGTTTGTGAATATCAACCGATTTAAAATCTTGAGCAAAAAGAAACTGAATGATGCCGCGCAAAACAACTCGAGAAGGAATCGGAATGGAGGTGGCGGGACGCGAAGTGGAGGACTCCATTTTGATAACCTCTCCTGACCGTGTTTCACGAGCTACTGACGCCGAACACCGCTCATTCTATTCGGTAGCTTTCCCTCTTCAATGCTGTGTTGCCAGCTCGCTCATACATCGACCTTACTAAACGTATAATACAAACGGAACTTATTTTCTGGATACCCCTCGTAATATTGTATATTAATTGTCTTTCTCATTTAGAAAAAACTTTATAATTAACACAATATATTGGGTCATCTAAAAAGTATCCGCGATTTTTTATCATTAGATGTGTGTTGATGGTCATACTATATATATATAGTATATCTAGTGACAAAGTACCGCGGATACTTTTTAGATGACCCAATATATTATGTATAGATAATAATCTGTATGTATAATATACAGATCTGTATATATCTGTATATTATGTATACAGATTACTGTATATTATATTGTATATACAGATCTGTATATATCTGTATATATCTGTATATATAATATATAGATCATAACGATTTCATCTCTAACGACTTCATCTCCCTCACGTTCCAAATTTGTTCAACTCGAATAATGTACTTTGACTTATTTTTTTCCCCGCTACTCCGGTTCTTTAGAATTGACATAGTCGAGTTTTGGAACGCACTCTGAAGGTAACCCTATGTGCTTTCCATTTAACATATGTTGACACAAATGTCGATCTTCGTAGAACAGAAAAAGAAAGAAGTGAGATAGGAATTTAGATATTGAGCAATTTACTCATTTTCTCTTTTGCGCATGCGCACTCCATTTTAGCCAACATAAAATCAGAAGAGTTGCGCTACACTGTGTATATACTGTGACAGAAGTCTGTGCTTCTTGCCCGTTTCGGCTCTCTCATTTTCTCTCTTTATCTTTCTCTGTTGTACTCAGCACGTGTAGATGTTAAATCTTGTTTTAATTGATTAAAAAAATATGAAAGTAAAGAAAGAAGACGCGATGTTCAAGGAGTTGGTCTTGAGGAAAAATACTAAGAACAAACAGAATATATTGAAGCCAGGTGCCAGTCTTGAGAAAGCTGTGAAAAATGTCAAACAAATTTTTAAGGTATCGACATAACCTCCATAAAATGAAGAACGTATTTATCATACGTTGCGTCATCTAAATAATTTTTGGAAGTTCAACGAGACTGATCGTCATTGGCTTTTTTTGCTTATTAGAATTTTAATAACCAGATGTACTATATATATATATATATATATATATATATATATACACACATACATATATTCCTTAGTACATACCTTTGGATCATTCATACCCTGCGCATTTATTTTCTTTGAAATATAAGAGCACCTTCAAATATCAATCTCTTTTCTATTCGTAAAAAAAGTTTGCATCTAGAGAACAAGTTTTGTACGTGCGGGCCTCAATTCATGCATATCCTTTAACTAGAATAACTTCAAAGTTTACCTCTGGGTTCTATATAAAGTGTACATTTTTGTAATTAAAAATATTTTTTTTCTTTATTCTCAATTCTTGTTTGTATTGTGGGAATATTTCACGAATTATCAAAAAAAGAATTTAACCCTAGAACAATATATAATATTAGCCTTTAATAAACACGATGGTTTTTGGCATCCTTGTGTTAAAAATGCTGTCTGTAACATTATATATTATGTTGTCTATAATGTTAAAGCATTTAAAACATTTTTTAAATAAATTATAAGTTTTTTTAACACAATAGCAATAATAAAATACATTGTTTAAAATATAAATGTAATATATATTCACAATTTATAGCCATTCATGCATATTAAAAAAACATCCTTTTCAGCTTACTAAATATCTAAATTTTTTGGACAATCAACATTTGAACTATTTTTTCTTTCGTAGTTTGGAATGCCAATTTTAAGATATTGAAACATATTTTTCCTTTAAATGTTTTTGTTTCAGTTTTATATTTTTATATGAAAAGGTGCATTATTCTTATTTTGTTAACTTTATTTAGTTATAACAATTTATGTACAATTTGTTATAAATATACAACTTTACAAATACTCAAAATATATGTAAAAATCGTTTCATCATTTTTATGTACTTGTAAAAGTGATGAAAATTAATCTAGAATGACCGAACGTGTGTAGTAAGAACGCCCAAATCTAAGGTGTGTATTAAGGAATGTAGTTGTTTAGAAATAATGTAATTGTTTAAAATACACATGTCACTGCAAAATTTGATAAAAATATACTCATTTGATGTATTTTCACTTAAAACAAAAGAATTCAGCAAAAAACATGTATATTTTGTCAAACAAGTATATTTTTATCAAATTTTGCAGTGACGTGTATATTCTAAATAATTACCTTGTTTTGGTATTTTTCAAATTGTATTTTTATAATTGTTTTAATGAAATCTTTAAAATGAATTTATACTACTTGAATAATAAATGTAATAATAAATGTTAATTATATCTAGCAATAAATGTTCTTTTTGTAGGAAAAGAGAGCAGAAGCTAAAGCGGCCACAAAAAAGGAAAACAGTTTAATAAAACTTAAACCTAAACAATTCAAACCGCAGAAATTTAAAAATAGAGGAATAGTTTACATAGGACACATACCTCATGGATTTTACGAAGAACAAATGAAAGATTATTTCAAACAGTTTGGTAATGTAACGCGAGTACGAGTGGCAAGATCCAAAAGAGTACGTATATGTTTATAAAATGAATTGTAAACTATTATACTATTTACATAAAATGTAAATAATGGGGCCATGAGAGTGCCATTAGCAATATGGGAGTGTGCAAATGCAAAACTCAAAACTTAATTTATTTAACCGACATAAATATGTATCGTAACAATATTAAAATTATATTAAACTGCTAAGTGTACATTTTGATTGTATATTTGAGCCATCCTCAGTGAATCTATTAAAATATAATAATTTATAAATACCGTATATTTCATTAATATAAATTTTTGTGAATGCATGGTCCATGAAAGATCATGCAACAATTTATCACAAAATCATTCCAACACAGTTACACAATTGATTGGCAGAACCACATGAAGCATAGCAACATATTTTTACTAATCACGAAAAAAATCAAGAGACGTCAGCATCAAGATTATGATCTATTACTAATGCAAAAAATTTTTCAAATGAATTAAGTGAAAAAATTAATGACTGTGTTATACAAACATATTACTGCTGTGTAAAGTCCAAAGTTTAAAAAAAGGCTGATTCTCATGACCCCATTATTTGCGTTTTATTCTAATTGACAGGAATTCATTATTGTTAATCTTTGAATTGTAAATTGTTTTATAACTGCAATAAGCTTTATAAAAATATATTTTTAGACTGGAAAAAGTCGCGGCTATGGTTATGTTGAATTCCTCCACTCACAAGTTGCTAAAATTGCAGCAGACACAATGAACAATTATCTAATGTGCGGCCGATTATTAAAAGGTATTTAAAATTGTATTAACACTGTTAATTAACTGTCTTTCATTATTTATAAATATATGTTTTTCAGCTACATATATTTCACCCGAGAAGCAACATTCTAGATTTTTCTTAGGCACAAATTGGTCAGAAGATAAATATCCTAGACTCAAAAATAGAAGACGAATAACTCTAAATAGAAATCGTCTTCAAAGTGCTGGAGATCATGAGAAATATGTTCAAAGATCGCTTGATAAACTTTCTGCATTAAAAAATAAATTGCAAGATAAAGGGATCAGCATAAAATTTCAACCCGTTGACATATCAAAAATGTAACAAACATTTAAAAATTTAATTTAGCTCTAGTTTATTTATAATTAAGATTTAATTTGTATTTGTATTAAATAAACTTAATAAACAATAGAAAATTATTTTATAATACAGAGCTTTGCTGTACCTATAATATTGTTATAGTAAATTTTTAAAATTTTTATAAATAATGTGTATGTATCTATAAATTATTTTTTCTCCGAAAACAAATCTGTAGTTTCTTAATTGTCAGAAACGTGACGACCTCTTCTACATATGTATGAGACCTACAGTTTTAACACCGCGATTTGAATGGTTTGGCAGAAGAGATTGATATGATAAAGATACTATCGATAGTTTATCATTGGGTGTTTTCCAATTGCTTAACACATCTTAACAGAAACGTATACAGGAATGTACAAAGTGTAACATGTCCGATTCAATTGTAACAGAATATGTACGCTGTGCACGGTTGAGATCCGTTTCGGATAAATTAAATGAGCTTTTTCCGCCAGTATTAAACAAAAAAAAGTAAAAGTGCCGGCCACTCAACGTCTTCCAACCTCATTTATTTAACCGCTGCAGTTAGTAACATGTAATTGTCACTAGAAAACACAAGCTTATACAAACCTCGACTAAGTACAGATGTGTAGTGTTGTGTCGACGATAACGGACAATTGGAACGCAACTTGTGTGCACGAAAGTATCTAGGGATATTGCAATTGGAAAGCATCCATTACTTTCTAAGAGATATTGGCTCAAATAAAATCCGTTATGTCTTCTGAATGAATATAAACTCGAATCTTTGGTACAAAGAGTAAACACGCAATTCTTTACGCCACAATCATCACAAATATAAATTACGTACAATTGAAATCTAAATATATTGAATAACGAATTCGAGAAATATATGTCACGATACAGTGGTTGCTTCCTGTACGTTTGTCGTGTTTCCTTTCGTCCGTTTCCATTTCATACGTCTATTCTGAAACCACACTTTCACCTGTAAAAAATATATTTAATGATGAAAAAACATAAAAATTCTGTATTCTATTCAATTATTTATATTGTACCTGACGTTCCGTTAAATCCAATGCTACAGCAATTTCATAGCGGCGCAAACGTGTCAAATAATTACTATGTGCGAATTCGCATTCAAGATGTCTGACCTGTTGCTTTGTAAAAGCAGTTCTTTCTTTCCGCGGCTTATCGCTTGTTCTTTTCGTTGTTTCTACAATCAATAGAAATGAAAAAATATATACATATATATATTTTTTCTATATATACAGGGTGAATCAGAGTCGTTGAACCAGTTTTTTATTGCACGCACGTTATAATCCAATAGGTATGAAGTCGATAATTTTCTCATAGGGTAAAAAGCTGGTTCAACGATTCCGATTCACTCTATATATAGAAAATTGAAAAATTGAGCTGTGAAGAAAAGGAAAATTTTTCATCTCACTTTGCGGATCTGTCACGTGCTCAAAAAATGTGCGACAATTTTCGACTATTTATATCGTGAAAGCTTGTAATTTTCTTTACACACACACACACACACACACACACACACACACACACACAAAATCATTCTTTAAAAATGTATGATTTTTTGTTTTTGAGTTAAATAAAAAGGAGCATTCTGATCTTTGCTTATAACTTCATTAAAAATCATCGTACTGCAATTAAGAAACAGATTCTTAAAACTAAAACATTGCTCTATAGTATCATACTAATTTTTTAAATGTAAAATATATAGAAATTTGAGTTAAAAATGTGATATTATTATTCTTATGTAATCATTGCGTAATGGAAAAATGGATAGTAATATCGTATTTTTAGTTCAAAAGTACATATATTCTATTTTTTTTTAAATTGGCAATTACACTTGATAGAGCGTTTCAACATTAAGAATCTGTTTTATTAATTACGGTACGATCATTTTTACGGAAGTATGAGCAATCAAAATTAGAGAATGCTCGTTTATTTAATCCATATGTAACTTGATAAAAAGTCGTATGAACATTTTTTAAAAAGGAATTTTTAGGAAAAATTTTAAAATTTGAATATCACGATTCTCTAACTTAAAAGTAATAATAAAAAATAAAAAATGAGAGAATAGGCTCGAGAGAATAGGCGCTGTTCAGAGTGCGCAAATTGTTCAAAGAATTCTCTCAATATAAAAGTTAAATTTATTGAAGAGACGATAGAACAATAAAAAATCGTTAAACAATAATAATTTTCGTACGTTTCAGTTAATTTTCTAATATTTCTTAATTTTCTAATATTTCTTAATTTTCAAGAAAAAACTTTAAGCTTTCATATCAGATAGACAAAAATTTCGCAATAAATATATTCTGTATATAATTTTGAGCTAAAACAAAATTCCGCACTTTTTCTCAAATCTAATATATGTATGCATATGTGTGTATATATTGTGTGTGTGTGTATATATATATATATATATATATATACACACACACAGGGTGTCCCATTTTAAATGATGACTTCAAATTTCTCTTGAACAGTACATTTTAGAGAAAAATGTTTCAGACAAAAGTTTTATAACTTCGAGGAAGACATAAGGTGATATCATTATTTTAATCTTGGGTGACGTTGTAAAGGTAAAATTATTTTTAATTTTTTAAATGGGACTCTCTATTTTTCATTACATATTCTTATAGCTTACCCCGAGAGCTTTCCAAAACACTATAATTAAGTTCATTTTCATTAACTTCTCGAGTTATAAGACTTGATAGTTAGTAGACATGACCCAATTCGTGTTGACTAAAGTGGTATGAAATTTTTAATATTAAGCTTAATATTAGCTTTTAATGGCATATACAACTCTAAATAAATTTGTTGTTTATAATAAAAATTTTAATAACGAATTTATTTAGAATCGTACATGCCATTAAAAGCTTTATATTTGAAATGTTTTATTATTTCGTCGAACAATAGGCTCATGTCCATTAATTAAAAGTATTTTTACTTTATATTCACTTGATTTTCAGTATACAATAAAATGAAATTAAAAAGAAACGAAACTTCAGACAACATTCTCTTCAGGTGGTATCGATGTGAACCCTTCCTCTCCCACTTTTCCCGTTCGCATTAAGAGAACGATCCAGTTCTCCATTCCGGATGGTGACATAACGCACTCATCATCTCGATCTTTTTGCCGTATGGTTTTCCGCGGTAAGATTTCGCGGCTCGTCGGCAACTTTTTGTTGTCGGCCTTAGATGAAAATAGCCGCATGTACGATGCATCAGTGCACGTTGCATTGATGCACCCGGTTGCGAAATCCGCTAGAAGCACGTTTCTACCGTAATGCAACACGTGGCTGTCGAGAGAGCGAGAGTCTTTCCTTTTCTCTTTTTCGCTCTCTTGAAGTCCTTAACTTTGCTTCCATGCCGCTATCTTGACTTTAATTGCTAGCTGACGTCAAACGCAAAATCTCTCATAATCTATAGCCCGCATCGATGGCCACTATTAGAGTAATACGAGAGTAATATCTAAGTAGCAAAAGCTAACATTTTGATGCCACTAATTTGCAAATATGGGGCAAGTTAATGTATAATGATATTCATATAATAAATAAGATTTATATTGATGTATAAATATATGATTTTAAAAAGTTACAGAAATATTATTAGCTACTAAGACTCAGCTCTGATCGTTTTTTAGGCTGTTTTTATTTATCGTATTAAAATATTTTAATTATTTTATTATTTTATCAAATCAAAATTTTATATTATTTTATCAATTTAAAAGTAATTGTTAGAGAAGTCTCTAAACAAGGAAATAAAAAAATATTATATCTTAAATTTAAGGTGTGATCCATTTAACGCTGCAAATACTTCGTTGCCCAATCAGAAAAAAGAATTTTACGAATTGACCAATCAAGAATGCTCCAAAGCATTGATATGAAGGCTATAGTCGATTCGAATGCTCACGCGCTTTAAGTGCTTCTAATCATCATTCTGTCTTTATCGTTCATTAGATGTAAAATAAAAATAGAACTATTGAAAGCACTGAAAGCGTTTAAATCGACCGCAGCCGAAGTAAAGTAGTTTGAAGTAAAAATGTTTGAAGTAAAGTAGTGAATTGCTAAATCTTGATTTTTAAACGATTTTGTGTCGACTTTGGGTCGACTTTAGTCCCTATTATTGTTTATAATACTTTCTTAATTAATACTTTCTTTAATTTTTATTATTTTATAATGCAATCTAGATATGTTAGATTTCTCATGAAAAAAGGAATATATATAATTTTAATTTTAATTGATTTTAGTTTTATTATTGATTTCTTATTTATTCTATTCAATTTATATTAAAATTTAATTTTTAACGCAAAATTTATTTGCTTTTCAACAAAATTAACAGTGTAGACAGAATACATTAAATATCAGCGTGTGATACAATGACATTTACTATGCAAGATGTATACCAGAAGTTAGACATCCGATAAACATTTAGATTGTACTGGGCCTGTTATAGCCGCATTGGCGACACTAAAGTCATAAAACTTCTAACTGTATTATCAATGATTTACGTCGGAAATCTGTTGAAGCTATAATTCAAAAGATTTCAACCTAATGTATTATGCACAGCTGTGCAGAGCTATTAAAATTCATATAACAATGGCTTAATTATTGTTTCAAAATAATTTAAATTGAGTTAAAATCATTTTCCAACAAGTTATAATCGATTTCTACTTGAATGACAGATAGTTTTTTTTTAAATATAATTTTAATCTAATAACTTGTATACATGCATATGTACATATATGTATAGAGAAAAGGCTCCTATCATGAGTTATTGAGTTCATTTTTGAATAAATGCTAGAAGTCTATGGCCAGAATTTAAAATAATAATATGTCATTTTGAAGAGAATTTAAGCTTTAAGATAATATTACATAAAATTTAATTCAAATTTTATTTTTTTTTAAATTAACCCTTACAATATAAGATACAATTTGGTATCTCATCCATCCAAATATATGGACACTATCGAATCCGTCCGTTTTTTTCATCTATTCAGAATAATTCAAGAAATCTCGAAAAATTCATCAACATACTTTCAACTTTCTAAAATAAATATTGACTTTCTAAAATAAATAACTTTATTTTGGAAAATAATAAAATGTAGTATAATTTATAATTATCGAAAGACTCAAAGAAACTTGTACGAACAAGAATCGCTCAGTCACTGATCTGACTTTGTACGGTAAGAGTTAAAGAAATATAAAAATGAGCAAATCACAAAATCAAAAAATTGTGCTCCTAATATGAGATGTTCCGAGAAATCGATAATAAAACGCAAGTACAATATTGCAATTAAAAAACTTTATTTAATGTTGCTAAAATACAAACAATTGCCAGCGCGAAAAATGAACATGGATTGTACTCAGAACTCGTCTTCAAGTAGTTGGAACTAAATGTCGCAGAAATGGGTACTCCGATTCATTCTGGTTCATTTCGGTTGTCCTTTTTATTATTGTACGATCATATTTATACTTTAGCAACGATTTTCACTATGACATAGGAGCATAAGGTATTTCATATTAGAAATACCCTGGGTATCTCATATTACGATTTCCAAGCTTTATTAATATTATGATCATCAAATCTAACTTCTGTAATTAAGCAATTCAACATATCGCATATTTTTCTATTAGTACGGTCTTACTTTATCACTACATAAAGAATTTATTGCCAAATATTTACTTATAAAATAATAAACGAGGTTAAAGGCTCATCTCAATGAAACTTGAAGGCATCCAAATTTTAAAATCTTTTCTGACAATGATTACAGGCATGATTTAATAATGAATTCTTCACTAAATAGTTTTCAATCTAAAAGCAATAAATTCATGGTGGAATCAATAGATAATGTTTATTAGCAGAAATGTCGTTATCTCATATTAGGTGCCTGTCTCATGTAAAGGGCTTTCCTCCATGTGTGTGTGCACTCTACGTCTATAACGCGCAGTTATGACGTAACACGCTATCATTAGTGAAGTCATGATCATGTTTGTTAGCGCAGCTCCGCGAACAACTTGTAGTTAAATAATAGCGAGTAGCGTCTCCCCGATATAGTGCACCCTATATATACAGGGATCATTAGGATTGTGACTAAATTAAATGGTTATTAGTATTATTATCTTTGCAAGAAGGCCGAACAAAACAAATATGAAATGTCATTTTATAGCAGAAATTCGTCAATTTCGTTTAAATCGTTATACAAATCCGTTTATGAGTGTCAGCATGAATGCATTAATTATCGAAGGAAAAGGGTGTGTAATACATTAGGTTATGTAATACATTAGGTTTTAAAAATAAAAAATTTTTTTTGAAAAAATAGTGTTTTATTTGTTTTGTTCGGTCTACTTGTTACAAAGTAATAACCGTTTAATATAGTTTTAGACACATTATAATGATTAACCCTATATATATGTATGTATTATATATATATATGTATATATTCTCCCCCCCCCCCACACACATACACACAAAATATAAATGTTATTTTATAAAATACGATCTCTCAGAATTGATGAAGAAATAACACATTACCTCGTTCTCGTTGATGTGAACGTGTATTTTCTCCAAACAACGAATTCGCATGATTCTCATTATGTTGCAAATCCTGCCAAGATTGATATTTGCTCTCGAGGTCTATATTCTGCAAATGAGGCATGTCCCAAGTGCGAAACATTGTCCCCGTGTTTGTCGTCACACGGCGATTTTGATTATTTTCGAATAATAAATCTTCAGGTTTGCTCAAAGGCTTCTCGTCTTCCTTTCCATTCAGTTGCTCGATTATCAGATGACAATCTGCTGCATCTTGCTGAGAATATTGCTCCCATCTTACAAAAATTAAACGTTATACAATACACATTTATGTAATAAGGTATATTACAGTGATAATTACACAATCTTACGATATGAAAAATCATTGAAAAAGTAATAAATTATAATAGAAACATTTATTAATTATATATAATAATAAGTTAATAAAAGATATATATATATATATTAGGTGTTGGAATTAATTCGTAGCGTTTTACAAGTGATGGGAAGTACTTTCATTAATGTATTTTTTAATGCTCATGTGAAATAAATAACATTCTTTCATTAAAAAACGCTACGAATTAATTCCAACACCTAATATATAATTTTAGAAATTATGAGAAATTATATAATCATATTTGTTTTTTATTGAAGTGAAATATTTGTTTTAATACAAAATAAAATATAATATTTTTATATATATAACAAGATTAATATTTCAGTTTCAACATTGTTACAGTAGAGCAACTGAAGTATACTGTGCTTCTTAAAGAGTTATCTTCAGAGTATTTTAAAATTTTCAATAAATTAAATTCTTAAATATTAAATAAACAAAGTGTCAAAAAAGTCCATTAGTAGTTTTTTTATATGTATAACATATGGGAGTTTTACCTGCACGTGCGATAATTTTGATTGCTGTCGGTGTTTTGAAGAAAATTGACGACGTAAGGCGGCGGGATTAAACGAGCGGTTTCGTCAGTTGCAATGTCAAATCCACTGCAAGGATTTGATGGGTTGCTCCAAGACCACCTGTGGTACCACGGTGTGGTCTCACAATCTGTTGTTGATCTTGTATTCTGCCCTTCCATATGAAAAGATGATGGTGTTGGTAGGATCGGTGGTAATTCGAAATTATCGGATGTCCGATGACTGTACGCAATCGTGTCTTTCGAACACAACATAGTAACGAATAAAGATTTTGACAATGTCAGTACGCGAATTTTTTATACGAATATCTTTACAAAGAATTGACAAAGAAAGATTAACAAGAATAAAACAACTATAACACAATCAGCAGTCAATCCGTAATAACTATTTATTCATTTAACGTTTGTTTTTTTCTTATTTGATTTATAAAAGTACATGCTTAAAAAAACAGCGGAAAGATATACAAGATTCTAATTACACTTATATTTGCTCGGAGAAAAGAATCTTTTAGAACATAGAACACTATAAAAGAAATTAAATATTGCAATAGCCTCTTTGCTCGTATTTTTTCGTTATGGTTCTTATATATATTTTCTTGGTAAGATTACTATTAATATTTATCTTGGTAAGATTACTAATAATATCTATTAATTGTCACTAATTTTATTAATAGGCAAGCACAGATTCATCGTAGAATCACTCCGCGCGCGGATGGATGCGAATTGCGTTAGTGCTTACTCGGAAATGTCAAATGAGCACATGTGATGGCGCCGTCATAGGGCAGCAAGAATGTCATGGAGAATATCGAGAACGTCGGAGGAGAGTTGTAGGAGTAGGGCTACAGAAGCTCCGTAATCTTCTTTCCTACATTTCCTTCAGCTTTTGGCCAATCCCTGAGCGTGAATCGTTTCTCGCAACCAAAATGACTGGTCGGCGTTTGCGAAAGAATTCGAAATGGTGACACACGAAGTGGCCGAACCGCTGAGTTTTTTGCTCTAAACTCTACATTTGACGGGGATTAAGAGAATTTTTATATGACGCATGTGAAATGCTGTTTTTGCGAATTGTTTTATCCGCGTGCCGATAAATTTTCAATGCTGTCTTTCTATGAGTGTCAAACTTTGGATGAAACAATATCCAATTAAGAATATATTTTAGATAATTAGTATTTAAATTTATTTTCAATATGTAAATCTACTACGAAAATTAAAACATATTTTGAAATAAGTTTGTATTTTTTGTCTCCAAATTTCCGAATAATTTTTTAATTGATTAAAATTAGATTAAGAAAAACTGTTATAACTAGTTCGTGTTTTTATCAAAGTTTGAAATTCTTACTTATTTTAATACATATATATATTTTTTCTTTCATATATTTCATCTAGCACTATCAAACGTAATCCAGATTTCTTCCCTCATTTTGAAATACGATACTAACTTCCGACTATGAGACAAGTGTCATGCTTTATTAGAAAGAAGGAAATCATTCGTTTCGGTTGTCACGATTGTAAAAAATGTTTAAATTTTTTAAAATTTAGCGAAAAGAAGGAAATTGAATCTTATAAAATATGCTCAAGATTACTTAAACATATCGATTAGAATAAACATTTTTAATAACTAACTTGTATAAGATTTCAACAAAATTTAATTACACAAATTTAATTTTCTTTTAAAATATTTTAAAATTTAATATGAATCTCTCAAACTTGTGTTATTATTTATTAATTTATCATACATATAAATTATTATATTAGGTGTTGGAATTAATTCGTAGCGTTTTTTAATGAAAGAATGTTATTTATTTCACATGAGCATTAAAAAATACATTAATGAAAGTACTTCCCATCACTTGTAAAACGCTACGAATTAATTCCAACACCTAATACATTTATTTTTATTTTCATTTTTTCAATATTTTCACATAAATTTAACTGATTTTTTACTGATTTATAAAATCACTTGCAAGTATCAGTTTGTAAATATTTTTAGCTCCTTAACAAAGAAAATAATATCGATAAAATAAATTTAATCAGAGACTTTAGGAAAAACTTTAACGATTAATTGACACAATAGTAAACATTTTTAATCCTTAAAATAATAATTACATTTTTAATCCATAAAATAATTTAAACAATGTATGTATATAATATAATATTAGAAAAATTAAATTTTCTTGGTATATTAAATTAAATAATAAATGACTGATTCTTCTATTTATGTTAACAATATGCTTTTTAGAATGATATACAAATAAAATAAACTATTTTCTATGTAACTTAATTATTGTAATTGCAAGAATCACATTAATAATATATATATTTAATGCGGAGAAAAATGCGGAGAAAAGAAATGAAGTTGTTTTCTTTGTCGAGCCGATTCATTCACGAATTCATCGTCGGTGTTTCATTGAGAATGGCTATTACTCCGTCAACGAGAAGTCAATCTCGGTAAAGGCCCACCTAAGAAAACACAAGGGTGGTGGGAGGAAAGAGGGAAGGAGCGAAAAGTGACGGCTGCGCGAGAGTGAGAGAATGAGTGGATGGGGCCCCGGCCGGGCCCTTCGACACGGCACGTTTCGAAGGGTCGACTCCTTGAGGGTCACGCGTCTCCATTAGTCATCGGCATTGTTTGGCTTCCTCTGTCGGACGCTTGCACCTCCTCCGAATGCGGCTTACACGCGTACGATGCCGAAAGAGATGCGACGAGAGGCCCACCATCTCATCGAAAGTTACCTCATACTAGGCTATCGCCACAGGAAGCGAGATTCCCTGAAATATGAGATACTCCTAGCTGTGAAGCGGTGCCAAGCGGTCTGCGAGGGAACGCCCGCTCGGAAACGCATTTCCTGAATTTCGTTTTGCAGCTAGTCTCTCCAAAGTCTTCCGTACCAAGTAAGAATTGAAACACATTCAATTTAATTTTTGAAGCTCGCGTAACGTCAGAGATATCAATAAGCATTGTTCAGATTAATTTTAGATTCTGTTTCTTTGAATGAACGTTTTTTATAAAACTTTTTAGTTTTATTTAATGACCGATTTACAGTTTATTAAAGATAGAAATTAAAAGACATAAACTGCATTTTCCTACGAGTATTATTTTTCAAAGAAGATGCTTAGAAATAGACAATATCTCATAAGTTAAAGCTTTTTTTTTATGAAATCAAGTTCTCCAAGTTTCGTGGGACGTAACATGAAAAAAAAAAGATCCCACAATGAACATTTGTTGCAGGCTCTCAGTCGAGTCTTCAGTTCGAATATAAATCCAATGAATGTAGGTGTCTGGCTTTCTCATCAGCAGCCAAACGAGGATTCTCATGCAACTAATTCAAAAGTTAGCGACACTAATGCCACGCATTTACGGACCGTAGTCGTAGCACATTAAGTATACATTAAACACCCACATATCCGTCGCGATTATCCAATCAGTCTTCTGAAGGAATTAACTGCCTGTTGATGATATATACAAATCATTGATAATTATAATATTAAATAATGAATGAAAAGAAACTGTTTTATAAATTGCAAGAAATTATAATATACAATAATTTAAGGAAGCTTACATTTCGTTTATGTCAAAATTTTTGTCAATCCAAATCCGATATAAATAACGAAAGACTAAAAATGTACTTGATTAAATGATATGATTGTTATATTTTGTAAATATATATACAGTGATGGCAAAAAGTCCCGGAACGGTCAAATATTTCGAAAACCATCAGTATTTAAAAAAAACACTGAAATACGTGAAACGATTTTTCAAAAAATCTATCTTTTGAGGGGGGTTAAGACCCCCCACCCCTAAGGGGGCACGTGGGGCACGAGGGGGGTCGAAAATCTTAAATGGCAACATAGGTCGAGTGGGGGCTCATTTGAAAGGTCTTCTCAAGACGAATCCAAAACACTCCGCATAGAGGGCGCTGCGTTCACTTTTGGCGGGAAAATGCAATTTTGAAAATTTTTTAGTCAGAAACATTAAAAAAGTTTAGTGTTTCGATAATCACCGGAACACGTGAAACGATTTTTCAAAAAATCTATCTTGATGTAGTAAAATCTTATAATGTAATATGGGTCGGAACTACTGCCAGCATCAGCATTACCCGAGATGTACCACGTGGAGGTTGCACGGTCAGATTTACATCTCTTCAGGGTGCTTGATTTAAGTGAGTCCCCTTGCCTCTCACTTTGCGTGCAATAATTAATGCAACAAATGCTCAAATTGATATCCATTAACCTCTTGACAGTGTGCTAATCGATTGTACGTACTCTCCCTTACGTTTTGAAGCATTTCTGGCGTAATTAAATTCGACACTTCAACAATTCGAGCCTTTAATTCGTCAAGATTCGCTGGTTTTGTTTCGTAGACCTTGCTTTTTAGATAACCCCAGTAAAAGAAATCTAGTGGCGTTAAATCTGGAGATCTTGGTGGCCATTCAATTTGACCTCTTCTACCAATCCATTTATTAATAAATGTTTGGTTTAGAAAATTACGCGTTGTCGTGGCATAATGAGCTGGTGCACCATCCTGCTGAAACCAAACATTTCCAAATGCATCTCTGGTA